AAATTGAGTGGGTCAGTAAAACAAAACTTTTTGAAAACCTTTCATTTAAAATATTTCTAACCCCTCGCTGTAAAACCTGTATACTTTCCCAGAAAATAGCATACTAGCATAATACTTTTCATTTATCTCAAATCGTCAATCTTTCTTAAAAACCAGAAAGTATGCCATGTTAAAAACTTTCAAAAACAGAATGAATGATGCATCAATGTAACAGGTGAAATAATGAATTAACCGGAGACCCTGCAGTTGATCCTGTACGGTTAATTCTATAGCTCAACATCAAATCCATCCGGAGTCACCTCGGTGACCTGTACGGCACTACACTGCATATACATCAGAACTACCTGAAGTAGTCTGTACGATAAGGATGGTGTAATAATAATACGCTCTAGTGCTTCTCTCATCAAACATCTGTGTACACAATCTAAGGTCACATATCAGTCGGAACCCTCTCATGGTCTGTACGACATGTCGGAACCCTCTCATGGTCTGTACGACATGCACCTACTTGGATCCAAGGTGAACGTGCGGTGCGAGGTGAATAATATAAGCACTAACACCATGATTGCTGGTTATGAGCTATCAACATAATACATATCAACAATGCACATGAATAACATAAACTCACCTGATACTCACATGTGCGTCCACAGCACCAATTCACATATATATATGCATCAATTATCAATTCATATAACTCATATCATGCATGCATGGCATTTGAAAACGTATTTTCGTTCAAACTCAATTTATGGGAAACATATCAATAGTATATAGGTATAAACAGAAATACTGCCCACTCACTGATAAGTCGAAGGGTCGTAACCCCCGTGACGTCCCTGGATGCGCTCGTCCTCGGGATAGGTGTCACCTATATGCGAAATAACTATAAAAACGTTATTTTTAAAGCATATAACCAACAATTCGTAATAACTTCTCATACGGTGCTCAAATCGGGTATATGAATATACCTACTCGACGTCACGAACGTCGACAAATTTTTAAAATAATTTTTGGGCTTGTCACGCGACCCCACGCGCTGTGGGTGGCACGGACCTACGCGCCCCCACGCGCATCTTTTTCCTCGATGCTCGCCGGACTGAGTTTTCCGGTGGCCGGAAAACTGGGCAATTTTCAATTGCCTTGTTCTCCCTCGTTTCTCAACCATTTTCTTCTAATTCTATATCAATTTAAAGCCCTAAACATGTAGTTTCACGATAGACTAGTTTAAAGCTCTAAAAACTACAAAATCTCACCGGAGAAATCCCACAAAAACTGACCAAAGTCGAATCTGGTGATCCCGACGTCCAAAACCTTCAAACGAAGCACTCCGAGCTTCCTTGGGACCTCACTAAGCTTACTACAAGCTTAGAATTCCCTGAAAATCGACATATTACGATTGCATGAATAGTGACATAAAATGGAGGTTCGGGTTTCACGTGATTTCGAACGTTTCATGTCCTAAAACTAACACCAATCGACTTAGGAGGTTAAAAGGATGAAGAATCATACATTTTTGGCGTCGATCCGTGAAAGTTGGAGGGTTCTTGGTCTCGTCCGTACGGTTCGAGAGAAAGAGAGACTGAGAGAGTCGTGAGGGCGGAGAGAGAGAGAGCACAGGGGAAGGGGAGAGGTCTTGTGCGTGTATGTGGTCCAACCAAAACCATACATACCAATTTTAATCCCTAACCACACAAAAATACCATCCAAAATTAATCCAACTTAAATTATTTTCTCCAAAAGCTTAGGGAGTAGGAAATATTCAAAACATGTCACAACACTTACCTTAGTAACGTCAAGGGTACTTTCGTCCTTTCACGTCCTTAATAAGAAAATCTCGGGACGGGCTGTGACAAAAATACTTCCAAACGAATCCTTTGTGAATTATGTAAAATCATTAAGAATCTTAAATGCCTTATTTCCTAAAGTCTAAATAATTACAAATCCCTTAAAATTCTTCGTATTTTAAAAATATTTTCAAATCAAATTCTAATAGAATACTAATTTACTACTATGAATTTATTTAAAATATTAATTAAATTTTTTGTATTTTTAAATACCTTAAAATTAAATCTTAATAAAACAATAATATAGTTATATATATATTTTTTTGTGTCAAAAGATAGATTTTCTTAAATTAAATGTCAGATTAGTCACCGACGATATTCGAACTCACGTCGTCATGTAACTTAACATTTTTCCACCATTGTGATAAATGGCCACCTGCCACTAATTTACTTCTATGAATTTATTTAAAGGTAATTTAGTCAAAGATCAACAAAAACTACTGTTTAGTCATATATCAATGCTTATTTTTGTTATGGACTTAATCAATGATATATTTTTGTTAATTAGGAATAGGTTAATGATAAATGTTACATGGGCTTTAAGGCATTATCATAGTTAGTATTTTACCCTTCTCTCATTTTCTCTCATTTGTTTAAAAAAAAAATTGTGATTACATGCTGCGACCTTTCTCTTCCACCTCATAACTAGCTGCCAACTAGATTTGCGAAATGTGCAATTAAGCCGTTACGTGCACTCCGTCTTCCCTTGCCAGGACACCATGTCGATCTCTCTTAACCTTCTCCCATTCTCAATCTAGCAACTTGTTCTTGGTGAGACTATTCGACGACGCTACACCACCGCCACCACCTGCAGGAGAAAAAAGACCCAAAAATCAGACCAAAAAAGCTATGATTTCAATACATACGCCTCATTGTCGCTATCTTTCACCGGCAAGGCCTTCTCGTTGAGCCCAAAACAGGTAAAGTCATGATGAGCATTTGTGGGGGATGAATTTGGGGTTGAATTTTATGGGTTTTGATGTTTTCTTCTTTTGGGTTTGAAATCTTTTTGCGTTTTGATTAATTTGATGGGTTATATCTCCTTTTGTTCTATGATATGAAATTTATATTGTCTTAAAGAAGTAATTTTATGGGTTGAGGGAGACTTCGTGAATTGTGGAAACGATGACAGAAAGAAGAAGAGAATTAGGAAACGGACATTGTAATGTAGTGTCCTGAATAAAAATGTAAAAACAGAACCAAGAAACAGACACTGCATTGCAGTGTCTGAATCAAAATGTAAGAAAGAAAAAAAAAAAAAAAAAACCAGGAAACAGACATTGCACTGTAGTTTCTAAATCAAACAGTAAAAAAAGACAAACAGAACAGGGAAACGGACACTGCATTGCAGTAGAGGGTGGGCAAATGGGCACTAGGCTCGCGAGGTGGGCCAGTTCCATGCGGTTTGGGGCGAGTTTGAAATTTGTAAAGACAAAAAGGCTTGAGAAAATGCCCGGGCCCGTTTCTCCCTATTCTCACCAAAATATCTGCTGTGGTTAAGTGGTACTACACTATTAGTACAATTGCATTTGTTTTCTTGAGTGGTAGTACATTTGTACTACACTGTTTTCTTTCTTTATTTCATTTTTTTTTAATTTTATTTTTTAGCTGGGGCCCTATGTACATCACTGATCACTATCCATCACAACTCTCTCTCACTTCTTCCCATCTCCTCACCATAAAGAAATCAAACTTGGCTCTCACCAATCACTATTTTCACTGTTTGGCACCGTCGTTTCGAGACTATCGTTATCACAGTCACCAACCATGTCGTCGTCGTCGAAAAAGAACACCCTTAAGAGCTCGGACGGTGAGTCATTCGAGGTCGAGAAGGGGGTGGCGCTGGAGTCGCAGACCATCAAGCACGTGATCGAGAACGATTGCGTCGATAACGGCATGTCGATGTCGCCAAGCCCAACGAGAAGATCTTAAGGATGATCTCAAGGCCTGGATCAGAATTTGGTTTGATTCTAAGGTTTCAGAATTTGGGGATTCGGTTGGGTTAGGGTTTTTTGATTTGGGGATTGGGGTCAATTGTGTTGTTCTAGGGCCTAAGGTTACTAATTTAGGGGGTTTCTATGATGATGGATTGAATGACGAACAAGTATTGGGTGGTGTCTCTGCCGGTTCAAAACTCAACATCGTCCCCATCATCGCCGTCTGATCATCCATCATCATCGTCGTCGCTGTCGTTATCTTACTCAAAAGTCGACAAGAAAGGGAAATTGAATGGCGGCTAAAGGGTTTGGGTGGGAAAAAAATAATAATAGAGGACCCGTGTACCAAGGCCATAATTGACCCATTTTAAACGGGCCAAGTTAGGTCCAGTTCTAGTGATCAGATTTGCAATACCCGGCCCGGCCCTTCCTATTTCCTATTTAAGCTGGTCTAGTTTGGTCCCTCCAAATTTGGGCCCAGCCCAACCCGTGCCCACCCCTACATTGTAGTGTCTGAATCCAAATGTAAAAATAAAGAGTCGCACGAAAAATGAAGCATAGAAGGCGTGTGAGTGATGAAAAAAAGGGAACCAAGAAACGGACACTGTAACACAGTGTTTGAATCCGAGTGTAAAAGACAGAATTAAGAAACAGACACTGCGTTCCAGTGTTTGAATCGTATTGACCTATTCCAAAATATGAAGAAAAAAAAAAAGAGAAATGGGGCAATGGTTGATTAGTATTGACCTATTCCAAAATATGAGAAATGGGGTATTAGTTGGAGTGGATGTCCGCTGTAGTGGCATATTTTGTAATTTTTGTTTATTTTAAATGCATTTAAGTGTCATAATACATGATTGACCTATTTATAATTAACATAAATATTGTTGATCTACTATCAATATGATAACTTTGTATTGATTTTATACAAAATCACCCTTTATGTGACATGTTAATCGAATACAACTCTTCCAAAATATTTAAACTCCTAACTATTTACTAATTCGTAATCAGTTGAGAGAAATTGAATTGAAGAGAAATTAAATTAAGAATAAATTATAACCAGATTCCTATTAAGTTGTTTGCTAAAATCGTCTGGAATCAGAGTATAAAAGCTACGGACCATATAAACTGTGCATTAACTCATATGAATCGAATGAAAATTAATATTATTACCAAAATGCCCTATTATCGGTAATCCATTTGTTGTTGCTGTTGAAGTTGGATTCACTGAATTGTCTATCTTTTCTCCTCCTCCTTATAAAAGGTTCAGCTTGTGTCCTCCTCCTCCACGTTCAGACTTTCACTCCGACGCCCATATGCTGCCGCATTATTACAGTTCAGATTCTCCTCTTCTGCGTCGCCGGAGCTTTGTTCCTTCTTCCTTCTCGCTCTTAATTTGTAGTCTGGTTTCTTTCTAAATCCCGATTTCACGGATCCCTATAGGAATTGAGGTCCTCACCGTCGCCGGAGCTTTGTTTCCGGTCAAACTCCTCTGGAATCAGTGTATACTGAGACGCACCTCTCTTCATCGCCGGGGTCCTCTGGATCTTCAACAATCAACATGGCTTACGTTTCGAGCAACAAAGAGGTAAACCTTACATTGCTCAATTTGATGAAGCAACAGCTTAATTAGTATGATCTGCTTCCTAGTTTTGAAAATATTGTGTTAAATGACGATTTGGCGGGCTTTGTGCTTGCGTGCTTGCAGGGAGACTCTTATGATGTGAGCAATGGTGATGCTCCGAAAACGGTTTTCGATTTGGGTGCATTTGTTGGGGACTTGACTGTTGAGGAGGACGCAAGCAGGTATATGCTTATATCATATATCTACGTAGATGATGTATTGAGTTCGCATTGTCAAATTTCGGCTAACAGCTATCGGATGCTACACTAGGAATCGGTATTCATCCATGTATGAGTAATGCCATGCACAAACAAATTTATAACCTCTTACACGCGATGGCACAGACAATCGTGTATGTTGACGGGGCACTTTTCACAAGTGCTTTGATAAACAAGCCTGCACAGATATTATATGGAATTTTTTATTTTTATTATCTGTGTATCAAAATTAGGAGAGGTTTATGCGTGCAAATTAAATTGCTTACTTGAAATGCATGTGTGGCGTGGCCACATGTTATGCTGAGTATGTTGATGACAGATGGAATAAGTATTCTAGAATTTCAAATTATAGTCTGAAAGTGCTTCATCTCAGAAATGATTCCATCGTAACTTTTTCCTCTCCTTTCAGTGATGATATATCGTTAGAAGGACTGCAGCAAGAATTGGAAGAATGTAAACACGATGATGTGAGTAACATTCAAGTTTCTATGCTCTTTAATGCTCCAATACATGGTTTCAACATATTTCTTTTAATTGGTATTTTGTTTGTTGCAATAAGAGAGAATGGTCTTTTCTCTGTGCTTTGAGGTTTTGAAAATGGTTCTTGTGAAATGTAATTATCTGTTGACTAAGGAGAAGTTTATGAACTCATGACAAATGGAATGCCTGGAAGTGATTTTTTTCCTGGTCAGAGAACTCATATGATTTTATTTACATTTTGAAAATAAGCTAGTTAGTTCATAAGGATTCATGTGGTTGGACACCTATCCCATTTTAATACTTAAGTGTAGTTTGTGTGAATAGTGAATACAGTGATTTCCTTGTAATTTCGTAGCTCTATTACTTGTGATGAACTACTCAAATGCATCAATATTTCTTTTATCTATCATCTGAATCTGATGTAGAAAGTTGGGAATATATTGTCTTGTGGTTATCACTAAAATGCATTAATCTTTCGACCATATATCATCTAATATAGGTAGTTGCGAACATATTGTCTAAAGGCACGAAACTTCGGGAGCATACAAAGGGGGTTGAGAACAATATACGACAAGTTGAATTGGACTCCATCCAGGTTCTTGTTCGCTCACATTCTCTTTACCATTTTATGTGCATTCCCTAGTTGAATTATTTCTAACAGATTTATCGAGTTATTGGTATCGTGATAATAGTTCCTTTTTTTCTTTTGTTTCATTTGAGTAGCTTTGTTTGTGTGCATAATATGTGCAAATAAGATAGTGTTAATATTCCTGTTGAAATGTGTACTTCCTTGAGCTTTTTGTGATTACAATATTTACCTTGTAACAAGGTTTATTCACGGTGAACTGTTCTCCTTTTGGTTATCAAACATTTGTTATGTGTTTCAAATCTTTTCAAGAGGTACTCATTTTTCTTGGAAGAAGCTGTGAAAATTTATGAAGGGTTAAGATTTTGGTTTCATCCTGTTGTGTTTTGGTGCATTTTGAAATAATGTTGTCAAATATCGTCGTTTTCAGCATAAATGCTTCTTCTGTGGTGCATGATTATTAATTTTTGTGAAAATCATTTATGCATGGCTCCCATGTAGTTTCCTGCATTAATTATATATATATATATATATCTATATAGTGGATAAGGTTCTTGGAATAATTAATTTGATCGTTAGGATCTTCCTTTATGCAATACTGCAGGACTATATTAAAGAAAGTGATAATCTGGTATCTCTTCATGATCAAATTCGTGATTGTGACAGCATTTTGTCACAGATGGAAACTCTTCTGAGTGGATTTCAGGTAGATTGGTCCCTTCTTTACTGTTTTACAATCATTACATGCTTTCACTCACACGATGACTGTATCTTCTTTTGCTTATATTGATAGAAAGACTTCTGGCTTCTCACTTATGTTTGCGGAAAATATATTTAATGATGACTCTTTAACATCAACATATTTACCCAAATAAAAACCCTCGTCAATATCTCTAGGAGGATTACTTTACAGAAAAAAAAATTCCTTCTTTTGACCAGCTTATAAAGTTTTGCTTCATGCAAATACTTTGTATATGTATAGTACCATTATTTGAGTTTTGAAGGTGTTATGTTAGATAGATGAACTTTTATATTTTTTTTTCCAGATTTTCATTAATAAAGTATGTGTTTCTTCTAATGGTTTCTAAATTTTTATTTTATCCCACAACTATGCACGAAAACAATACTAGTATCATTTCAGCTGTGATACAACTCAAAAGCACATAAATTTCCAATATTAGATGCATTTTAAATGATATCCATTTCCTTTTTCCTGTTCCTTTTCCTTTGGTTTATTAATTTCATATTAGGTTTCCTCAAGTCTTGTTGCTTAACCTTCAATTTCTTGCATTGAAATTTTATTTTATTTTATTTCCAATTTTGTTTTTTTTTTTTTAAAATTTAAAGCAAGAGCTTCTATTAAAAACATAAGCATAAGACTGGAGAACAAGGAGTCATCTGAAAAATAAGCACAACATGCAATCAGCCACTCTATCCTTAATTAAATACAACAAACCATAGAATTTTAAGGGGATTGTTTGTCAATTATCCTCACCCTTAACATATATTATATAAATGTCATTAATACGTCAAGAATTCTTTTCCAGTCAGAGATTGGTTCAATAAGTTCAGACATCAAAATTCTCCAGGAGAAGTCTATGGACATGGGTTTGAAGCTGAAGAATCGCAAGGTACCATTTGTTTGTATAAAAAAGCTCTATGTCTTTGCTTCTTTTGAGTTCAATTAACAATTAACCTTTTGAGTATTGATGAGGCATGCTCCTCTGTAGCTTGCTGGTTTGTGTTATAAAATTGTTGGAATAATATCTGTAGAAATTTCTTACTAGATTAGCAGATAGTATGGTATGGAATGCCTGTAAATCATCATCATTGATTAAGGTGAAATAATGATAGACATAGTTGGTGTGCTTCTTATCCATATGCTTCTTGTTTCTTATATGAATGACCGGTTTATGTTCATTTAACAGGTGGCAGAATCAAAATTGGCAAAGTTTGTTGAAGATATTATAGTCCCTCCAAGAATGGTAGACATAATTGTTGAAGGCGAGGTATATCTTATTCTTTTAATTGTTAAATTTCTCCTTGTAAATGCAATATCATCATTTTTCACTTTTTTTCTGTTTGTATATGATAAAAAAGTGCCATTATAATCTTGATAAGAATGTTTTCTCACAATCTCAGCTGTATCATTTGTTAAGTGAAACTTAATGCAGAGTAACATGTTCTTTAGTTGGCATATTGAATTTGTATTATGTTGTGTTGTCTTTCTTTCATTTCTGTTAACATGCTCAATATGTCGTTGTTATCCAGGTGAATGATGAATATATGAGAACTTTAGAGATTCTAAGTAAGAAGCTCAAGTTTGTAGAAGTAGATCTTATGGTTAAAACTTCAAAAGCCCTAAAAGATGTTCAGCCCGAGCTTGAAAAACTCCGACAGAAAGCAGTTTCCAAGGTTGGTACCAGAGTTGCCAGATAAACTGTCTGATATTGATCACCTAATTGCTTGTGTAATTGTATGTTCTTATCATACATGCCTGATCTATGTCAGTAGAGCAGTAAACGCCTTTTAGGAGTAAAATCTAGTGTCTTCTGACAAAAATTGGTCATCCTAGCCAGTTAAACATGTGTGCATGCGAGTATGTCCATTGCTATATGGGAAGCAATGTAATTGAGATATTTGTCTACTAACTAGTAACTAATTTATTGGGAGGGATTTCGCAGTCTCTAGTCTAGACTACCAGGTTTTTCACTCAATGTTTTGTTTGAAGTTATGATATGGTTACAGCCTCATGTACACTACTAATCCATGGTCAGTAAAAGCTGAAATTTGAAAAGAGAAAAAAAAACTGTGCTGTAGATGGTAACTGACATATTTTATATAGACAATTTTTCAGTTGAATTCTTGTTAGTAGTTGTTATGGATTAGTATTTGAGTTCTATTGTGTTCCCCTAATAATGTACGAAAGAATGAATTCTTTTTTATTTCATTGTTCAGTACATTATCTTGAGCTAACTCTTGGTTCTCTTATATCAGTGTGTAAAAAACTTGGTCACTTTCTTAGGTATCGAACTAATTCAGGTCTTATATCAGTATTTGAAAATATTGGTCACTTTCTTATGTCTTCAAGCTCTTTTGCATTTATTTCCTTGGAAGTGTTAATTTCACATGATTTAAACCAGTCAAAGCATGATTTAGACTTGGCACAAAACCGAGTGTAGTGGCGTTCTAGGATTCGTACAGCCGACCTCACTTAGTAGATAAGGCTTTGTTGTTGTTGTTGTTGTTGTTGTCAAGTTATGCTGCTGTTTAATTTCAATGATCCATCCCTTCTACAAAAGATTCATAGTGTATGAGTTTTCATCTGTCTATCTATCTTTCCACAGGTGTTTGACTTCATTGTTCAGAAGCTTTATGCATTGAGAAAACCTAAAACAAATATCCAGATCCTTCAGCAGAATGTTCTTTTGAAGTACAAGTGAGTAGTTTCTTACTGTATTCTCAATTCTATTTAGTTGGTTTCCATTAATATCACAATTTAATGGATCAAATTCAAGTTGAATTCAGATCATTGAACCAACCCATTGACAGACCCAGTTGCTGATATTCATGGTGGCAGCAACTATTAAGGATAATGGTCTATTTACATGGGATATTAGAGGATTCATTTGGGAAAAAGTTATGTTGCTTATTATTTTGATGCCGGGAAACAATCTGATTCACTTATGAGTTTGTTCGTACGAGATAAATCAGGCTGTGAAACTATTTGATTGTCCCATGAGTTTAAGATTAGGAGAAACTGGATTATACAGTCTAAGTGTCATTTTTATGTGTGTCCCAATCCTACTATCCTTTTTCTGGATTATGTGTTGGTAGTGCTTAATGATTGTAAAAAATAGTCTTCCTTGAGCTGTTCAGAACAAGTTCTCCATGGTGATATTGTTTCTGTATAAATATAGCATTCACTCATGTACCAGTAATGTGTGAGTGTAACACGACCAAACATAGGTATCTGTTAAATGTGCATGCTGTTTTGGGTTTATTTCGGGTGCAACTGCTGGTATCTATTAGGTGTGTATAGATATTGTTATCAGATGATTTTATTTTTTCTGTTTGATTTATTATTTGACTGATTCCAGTGTGACAATGTAGGTACGTTGTTTCCTTCCTGAAGGAACATGGCAAGGAGGTATATATTGAGGTTCGCGGAGCATACATTGACACAATGAACAAGGTCAATGCTTTAAAACTGATGACCTTCTTTGAATTATGATCTTGAAGAACTAGAATACTGCTAGATGAATTACCATACATAAACAGGGAGTGTCACAACCTCCTTGTCCATTTAACTTAAAATTCTCTCTGTTTTCTTCTATTATCAATTCTGGATTAGGTGATTTTGATTGTACATTTTATTGATCTATAATACTTTCATCAAAGCCGAAGCTAAGCTGCATAAGTGTTTAACCGCAGTTAGTATCCTACTTCATAAAAAATGCTTCACAAATTTAATTTTTTATTTTTTTTTCTGTTTGTCTTTTTGGGTACTGGTTACACAGTTTATAAATGTTTACTAGCAGATTACAAGCTTTATAAATGTTTACTTCCAGTTTGTATCCAACTTAATCAAAAAGTCTTTAGAAAGTCTTGTTTTTTAAGTGGAAGCCAAGTAATTTTAAAGACCTTTCTCATTGCATCATCTGACATTCAAATTATGCATTGCCTTCCTGTCATTTTGAGGACAGAAATTCCAAAAAAAAAAAAAAAAAAAAAACTACTTACATGAGATGTGAAACTCATGGTGGTCAGAGTTTTGATGATACACTTAGCTGCCCTGTGCAACTGTACTATGATATCTGATGCAAGGGGAAGTTAGGGGAGAATGAAGCGAAGGATCTGTTAGGTAGAAGGAGGGAGTTAAGGGACTGACTTTTTACTTTTTAGTTATGTATTTTACAGGTTTTAATATAAATAGAGACACACGGAATTGATGAAGAAATTTAGAGCGGAAGAATGAGGGTGATGGAAAAGAATGGAGTCAAAAACTAGGCAACCATGGCTAAATACTCAAAAGCAAACCTATATGCAGAGAAAACACATATTTACTGAGAAATTAATGTTTGAACCTCCTAACAAGAGGGGTATAAGAGAAAACACAAATTTATTTATTCACATGTTAGTTGATTGATTAAATTTGATGCTATATTCTCTATTTTATAAAATTTGGTTTCAACATAGAAATAGTGTACAAATACTTTGTTTTATTCTATTTCTGCATGTTTATACATTACCTTGTTTTAAACTGTTTACATTTTGTCCCACCAATACTCTATACACAATTGGCCTGTTTCTTTAATATTCTAAGGTTTGTAACTTCATATAAAAGGGCCTTTCTGCATGGTTCTGATATTTGAAGTTCATTCCTTGGTTCCTCATTTTAACATTTAATGTAGCTTTATTAAAGGAGTTGGATAATTTATGCTATAAATACTATTGTAAAGAGTAATTGATAATGGCACATCTTTCCCATTAATAAAAATGGGGCAAAAAGAAAATGGATAATGTATGTAGGATATTGAAATTCAGTTATATGTTTTGCAGGTTCTCAGTGCACATTTCCGCGCTTACATTCAAGCACTTGAGAAACTACAGTTGGATATAGCAACATCTAATGATTTAATTGGTGTTGAGACTAGAAACACTAGTCTCTTTTTAAGAGGAAGGGAACCACTGAAGAACCGGTCTGCTGTCTTTGCCCTTGGGGAGAGGAGAAAAATTTTAAAGGTTTTGTTACTGCAACTAACTCGTTAATCCAATTTTATACAAGCCCATGGGAAAATGATACTAACTTTATTATCTTTGCTAAAAGGTTGTTTCCTTTTTTTCGTAAAAATAGTTGCGAAAACTATCGACAAACTAATGCAACCTGTGTAACTTATTTATGGCATAGCGATTATTATGCTGAATGTTGCCATTTTTGTCCCACTATATTAGCAGTGTGACATTACATGTTAGAACGGCCTGCTATATATGTTGAAGAATATAAAAATTGCAAGATAGGCTGGAGCAACAGAGGAGCTCTTGTGTTATGTTGATCATTGTATCATGATTCATGCCTTTATGAATGAAGAATGATCAACATTTTAAATCTGTTGTCATAATCAAATTGAGGAGATCTTTAACTTCTTTGGGCCTGTTGGTACTATTGATACTGAATGTCTTTGAGATGGGAATTGTTGGGAGCTTAGAATGAGTATATCTTTAATAGCTTTTGAATGGTTGGAATTGGCTGTCTAAAAACAGGCAACACTGTAAATGTAGTGTATTGTGACAAATGACATCTTTAATTGTGAGTATTTTAATTTTAATAAGGATTGTTATACTTTGTCTTATACTCCACTTTTAGATGTTCAATTGGTATAAATGTGATAGATGATGATTTTGTAATGGGCAGCTATTGTTAGTTTTCTTATAATGGCATTTTCTTTATATATATCTTGCATGTAAAAAAACATGTCATGTTTGAATTTTGTTATCTACCAGGAAATTGAGGAACCTGCATTGATTCCACATATAGCTGAAGCCAGCAACATCAAGTATCCATACGAGGTCCTCTTCAGGAGCTTGCACAAGCTACTTATGGATACTGCTACTTCCGAGTACGCTAGAGTTTGCCTCTTCTCCTCATTGATGGTTTCTAAAATGCTAATGGAAAATTGATCAAATAATGATATTTGTTTTCACAATTTTCCCCTCTTATATGCAGGTATCATTTCTGCGATGATTTCTTTGGTGAAGAATCCATATTTTATGAAATTTTTGCAGGTAAATCTGACAGCTATTCTTAATTCATTTTCTTATGGTTAAATCTTTGGCAAAATGCATACTGATTATAAGTACAAAGTGCATGAACTTCTCCCAAATTTTAAAGCATTACTGGTGACTGTGTTTAGATTCAGATGATCACTTTGGATCTTTTGAAGATCTCACTGTGCTTCTTTTTGAAAATTTGGCTCATTTTGATGACTTCTAATGTTTTTTAATGCCAGGCCCATTTTCTGTAATTGACGAGCACTTCAATTCAATACTTCCAAATTGTTACGATGCTATTGGGGTAATGCTTATGATTCGCATAATACACCAGCACCAGGTAGTGTTCCAGTTCCTAAGATCATATTTTTTGTATACGAGTTTAATCATGTCCAGAGTTGTTATTTAACCTGGTTGTCTGTATGTTGGTCTAGGTTTTCTCATTAATTTGTTGTGTTTATTTTGTTTTTTGAAGTGTTTCATGGACTACTTGTCTGTGCTTCTTGTATTCCTTGTGCTTTCTCTGGATCAATCTTGTGGTTCTAACTTTCTTATATAAATAAACCAAATAGTTTTAAATATCAGTTGACTTTTCTGGGCCTCCATATTGTCTGCATTTTTTGCTTGGTTTGGTCCTGATGCAAGTGTTCTTACTTTGTAGTTTGTACCACAAACTCAAGACATAGTCATCTTGTGCATACCATGTGGCATTGCCGCATGTCACTTGGCTATAGATATTGAACAGAAAGTGTTGGACAATTCTCATTCTAATGAGACCCTCAACCTGTGTTCTGTGGTGCATTTGCTAGAAGATATTCTATTTCTGATTCTTTTTCCTTCCTTTGCAGCTAATTATGTCTAGGCGGCGTATTCCATGCTTGGACTCATACCTTGATAAGGTTTGTGTCCTTAATTTGTCTGCATTCTAATCTTATCATCTGCATTCTGCATGCATTTTCATGTATTCTTAGATGGTTGACGATAGGTAAATGTAAAGAGAGTTACAAATTGCTAGTATTGACTTATGTTTCTTCAAGTGGATCATATTGAAAGCACAGCTTGTATTGGGCTCTTATACCGTCTGATTTGAAACATTAACAGGTCAATATTGCCCTATGGCCTCGCTTTAAGATGGTTTGACCTGCATCTAAACAGTCTGCGGAATGCAAATGTGAAGACATTGTGGGAAGATGATGTTCATCCTCACTATGTCATGAGGCGTTATGCTGAATTTACAGCTTCACTTATCCACCTCAATGTGGAATATGGAGATGGGCAGGTTAGATATAGAAAATGAACTTAAAAACTTAATGCTCAGGAAGATTCTTGATCACTTCATGGGCTTAATTATCCATTCATGATTCGCAGCTTGAATTAAATTTGGAGCGGCTGAGAATGGCTATTGACGACTTGCTTATCAAGCTTGCTAAATCATTTCCAAAACCAAAACTACAAACTGTGTTTCTGATAAACAATTATGATATGACGATTGCTGTGTTGAAGGTAACCTCAGTTTCTAGTTTTTTTTTTGTCTTTTCAAAATTGAAAAGGAACATCAAAGATTCTATATCAACATGAAGGTGAAATTTAAGCGTCTGGCAAAATTTCTTGAACATGCTCAGTTGTATCAGTTGCATGCTTTGGCAGCTGCTGTTTTTACAATTTTTGTCATTTGAATACTAGGAAGCTGATCCAGAAGGTGGTAAAATTCAAATGCACTTTGAGGAACTTCTGAAAAGCAACACGGCATTATTTGTGGTAAGTGCCTGGTCGTGCTATCTGTCTTGCAGATAATGTTTTGGTGCAAATTGAAGGTTGCATTATGAGTTCGGGTGTCAGCTAAACATTTTATCTTTCTAATTCATATTTGATATGGAACTTCGGTATTGCTTGCATATTCTTTAGAAGCTTTTAACAAGAACGTAAATGGAAGCATATCAAGTAAAAGTATTAAGTTGATAAAAGTCGAATTTACTTATTAAAGTAATGGTCCCTTTTTCATAGATAGGAAGGGATAACGATTTGCATCGGTGGAAACAGTGGAAACAGTTCTTTCCTTTAATTCACCCAGGAAGCTTTAAGGAGAAGTTAATTGGTTATAGATTATATGTTTTTAAATTAAGAAGAAATTAGGTTTTATAGCCATTAGCCAATCAAATGCTTCCTCTTACTTACCAGTATATTGTAATCAAAATGGTGAGAAAGGGAGAAATAACGCAAACGTACAGCCTCTCGTGTTCTTTCTTCCCTTTACGGTATATGGTTTTGCTTTGCTTCTTTTGTTTTAAGCTTTCACCTCTCTCTCCTTGCAGGAAGAACTACTACTAGAGCATTTTGGCGATTTAATCAAGTTTGTTAAAACCCGAGCTTGTAAGTATTTTGATGAATAATGCTTAGGCGTCTTAAACCCTTCTAGTTTCTTTATATTAATGTACTTATTTACAATTTCCTTATCAGCGGAGGATCCAAGTGCTAGTTCTGAGAGGCCTATAACTGTTGCGGAGGTTGAGCCCCTTGTGAAGGACTTTGCAAGTAGATGGAAAGCTGCAATCGAACTGATGCACAAAGACGTCATAACTTCTTTCAGCAACTTCTTGTGTGGTATGGAGATCTTGAGGGCGGCATTGACTCAGCTGTTGCTCTATTACACTAGGCTCTCGGATTGCATAAAGAGGGTTGTTGGTGGGTCTGCTCTCAACAAGGATCTAGTGTCCATACCGTCAATCATGTACGAGATTAGAAAATACTCGAGGACTTTCTAGGTTGTTTCGGTTCATATGGGTTTCCTGCGTTTGGACTTTGAAGATAAAGACAGTGACAGAGTGCTTTTCGCGGATAATCTGTTGCGAAATTTCGTGATTGCTTTTGAATCTTTGGTTTTGTCACCAAGACGCCATTGTTGTAGACTAGTAGGTCGTGATGGTAATTTACTTACTGTTATTATTGAGCTGAAGAGGGGAGCCATAATCAGGAGAGATTCTCTCATGCAACCAAGATTTAATACCAGTTATATTGTCGTATAATAAATGTTTGCCATGTTCGGTGACATGAGAAAATCTCTCCGTAATCCGAGGGGCGTTCAGACTGCTCAAGTTCAACAATGACTTCGTTAGTCGCCACCAGCCAGAAAGGTCATGTTGAGCTTATTTCAAGGGTTAGACACGAATTTCTTCTTAGTACATTTTGCACGTCAAAATTAAGTCTTTGTTTGGTATTTAGGATTGAATTGTACGTTGAAGGGAGATGGTAGGATCTGGTAAAGCAGAAGAAGAAATTGCTCGAAGTCTTCCTTTGAAATTTTGTTTCCACCGTTTCCAAAGACGTTTGGATACTTTAGTCACGCAAAACACCTGTCCCGCTGAGTGTGCCAACACATGATTTGGCTCGAGTATTTCTTTCAGTCTCAATGCCAAGAGAAAGATTTGTGAGGAAATATGATTGCATGCGTGCCACTGTTAGAGGCTATCAACAGATAGTGTTTGTGTGGTGATTTTGTAAGTTTGTGCGAGATCTCTAAATCAAACAATTGAGACTTTGGTTCGGTTAAGTTATTTTTTATGCCTTAATGACCGAGGACTTTTGGGTTTTCAATGTGTCATGCTTGCCTCAAAGAATGCAAAGACTATGAGCCAACTAAAAGGAATTACATATGAACGTAAGAATGAAAACTGTGATAATGCTAAATCAGATTAGTGATATATGATACCAAACTGGGTTAAGTGGAGAACATTTTGCCTCGGAGAGGAAAACTTAGTTGAAAGTCCATCAAATAAAATTATACTAAGGAGTAGCTGAGCTATAAACATTGGATCGATGGGTTTGTTTGGAGATTTGCGTTGAAGAAGGTTTTAAAAATAAGCTGAATAGCTTTAAAGAGTTGAGTTGATCAAACGTGAAGTTTTGACAGTTGTAGAGATTAAATTTGACAATAGTCATGAACTTTGAGGTCTTCGCTCCAATTTTTAAGACGAAAGTTTGACAATTTTCTGTTTCCTCGGATTTTTGTACACCATACACCACCCTTCATTTAATTAAATTTGGATTTCAATTTTGAAAAGGTAGTTATGGGAATGAGATCCATTATAAACCTATTATGATTATATATTTCATGTTCTTTTGTCTAACAGTTACCAATCTCTATTACTTAATGAAACTCTAATTGTCAATTAAAAGAAGGTGAAAAGACAACTTAATCAGCTATTACACAAAAAAATGATGGGCAATAATGTAATTTCACATGTCCAAATTTTACTTTTTTTTATTGAAGCCTCACCTACAGATGATGTTAAAATATCTCTAATATTTTAAATTAAAAAAAAAAAACCAAAAACAAAAACCTCCCACTCCCTCCATATTCTCTCTCCCTCCCTCTCATTCTCATTTTCTAAAAAAATGTGTTCAGACACACAAAGTGTGTAGGCAAATAGTAGTTGCTCTATTAAAAAACAATTAAAAATAATTAGACGAATTTAAAAATAATATAAAAAATTTAAGAAAGACAGCCTGGACCTTGACTAGTCCTGTCCCATTGCATCTTCCTGTGGGACCAATAATCTTGGACCCACATGTCGCCACGTTGCAGAACCTCAACTCTCTACCCGTGTGGTCTCTCTCTCTCTCTCTCTCTCTCTCTCTCTCTTCCTTCTGTATGTCGCTCTCTTTGTTCGAATGTAAATTTTAGAGTAAACTGTCGATTTGTCATCTGAATTATCACCCAACTTTCGATTTGCTCCCTGAACTTTTTAATTGAAAAATTAAGGACTTAAACTAATTTTTTTGGCCAATTTGCCCCCTGCTGTTAATTTTTCATTTATTCCATCCAAATTTCTGTTAAATGAAAGCATATGCACAACATGTGTGGGTAGTTCGGTCACTTCATTCTTTAAAATAATTGAAAACCTTAGATTTCTAAAATATAAACCTATGCAAATATGTGTGATTCTATAGCTTTTCTGTCTGAAGGTCTAGTGAAATGACGCTTTTGTCCACAAATGAGAGTTACGTGGTTTGCACATGATAAGAGTTAACGTTAATTTGGATGAAATTTATGAAAAACTAACGGTAGGGGGGAAATCGGCCAAAAAAATTAGTTTAAGTCCTTAATTTTCTAATTAAAAAGTTCAGGGGGCAAATCGAAAGTTGGATGATAGTTCAGGGGTTAAATCGGCAGTTTACTCTAAATTTTAAGCTCTCCCTCTCTCTCTCTCTCTCTCTCTCTCTCTCTCTCTCTCTCTAAAACTACCAATAACAGAGAGCAAAGCAAATAAAACTTACTCGGTTTCTTTCTGTTGAAGAAAACAGAGTGGAATGGTGTCTGAGAGAGCTCTGCCTCTTCCGAGTTCAATATCGTTGGCTGGCTCATCGTAATTCCAGATCCTAAAATCTCTCCCCCTCCCCCTCTCTCCCTCTCTAGAATCTCCCCGTTGCTCGTCTGTCATAAACCACATTTGAATTCCCCAAAAGGGTAAATATTTTCAATTCAAAGTAATAGTCTTGGATGGCTTTCGTTGGAATTTACCTACTTTTTCTATTTATGGAGTTAACCGCATTGGCCCCAGAAATTTTCGCTACTTAGTCACCCTCGCTCTGTTGTTCCTTTTCCGCCATTTGATTCCGTTCTGCATTGCCTGATTCCCCAATTCACATTCTTTCTGCAGGTTTGATTCCTTCTCTTTCTATATCTCTCTAAATCCCACTGGATAAAAAGCATTGGCCTTTTTTGACAAAAAGTTTCCTGCTTGGGGTTGATTTTGATTGAACGACTTGTTTTCCATCTGGGTTTTTGTAATTTGTGAATTTGGCATTGGGGAATTCTTAATCTCAACTGGTAGTGTGGAGAAATCCCCTCATTGGGTTGTTGGCATTGCTGGAGTTTTCTTGAATTTGGGGATCTGGGTTCTTTTGCGAGTTATACTTTTATAGTTCTTTGTAGGTATTCGTTTAGTACCGTCGATTCGGAGATCTGGATTCTGCCATTTCCTTGGTTTGTAGAAATTTGAGTTGAACTGCTGGTCGTGCATTTCGTATTCAAGAACTAATCTGAAGGGTGCATTCATTATATAGAAGTTGTTGATTGGAGAAGTCAGGTTATTGATCAGTTGAAAGTGGTGATGCAATGCTGATCGGATTACATGCTTTGCCTGCAAAATTCACGGCCTGAGAAATGGCTCTTTGCGCTTGGAATTGATGAATTTTGCAGTATTCTTGTTGGAATAAGGGACTGTGAAGTAGAATAATGGGCTGCATTTGCTCAAAAGGAAGGTCAGCCAATCAGTATGTTTCCGAGAATCATCGTAGAGACAAAGAACAAAAATCAAACAAGTCTTCAAAACGGTCAGAAGCTGCAGTTGGGGCTGATGCAACTGCGCGGTTGATAACCAATCCCCGCACAGAAGACAATGCAGGGTCAACTCCTATTTCATCGGATGAAGGGGAGAAGAAGATGGTGGTTGCTGAGAAACCCACAAAACCCTTCATGGAGGGTGGGGCAAGTGGGGGAAAGTTACCGTCTGGGCTGACTAGGATAACCAGCGTAACAAATGGAGAAAGAGGTGCACAAGTTATTGCTGGATGGCCTTCTTGGCTGACTGCAGTGGCAGGTGAAGCGATTAGTGGATGGGTGCCTCTCAAGGCAGACTCATTTGAGAAATTAGAGAAGGTCTGTTTGTTTGCTTTTATATCTTTAATCCTCTCGTTTAATAACAATGGTATTACGTCCCCTACATTTGAAAATTTTCAGGTGTGAATATTACTAGTTATTGTGAATCTCTGATTCCTTTCATTTACTTTTCAGAGTAAAATAAAACTTTGGGGTTTGTTTTGGAGTTTTACTTTAAGTTTGTGCCAAGAACATATGCGCATTTAGTTTTTGGGTGACATGCTTTAGAAAAGTCTTAATTTGTCAGATTGATTTGCTTACAATTGTTGTCGGGTGGTGTCAGTAGATTTTTATTTGTAAAGAGATCTATATGCTTGCACATTCTGATAGTAAATTTATCATGCATATCACCATTTTAAAGTGGGTTAGATGCACTCATACTGCAAAAAAATAACTAAAACTAGCTACTTCTGATTGAAGTTTTCAGCTACAATACCAATGGATCCCATCTATGCTCACTGTTGCATTGATACCTTGTTTGTGAGAACCACATAAAACCAAGACGTTTGAAACTACTCCTCTCTTGTCGGTGTCGACATTAAGGACATTTTCTTTTAGTAATTCTTTCTCTTCTGTGTATAATGCAGATTGGACAAGGAACTTACAGCAGTGTGTACAGAGCCCGTGATCTTGATTCAAACAAAATAGTTGCACTGAAGAAGGTGCGGTTTGCCAATATGGATCCGGAAAGTGTGCGTTTTATGGCGAGAGAAATTCTTATTTTGCGTAGGCTTGATCACCCCAATATCATGAAGCTTGAAGGTCTGATTACATCAAGGGTTTCGGGCAGCTTATACCTTGTCTTTGAGTACATGGAGCATGATCTTGCAGGGATTGCAGCACGACCTGGGGTCAAGTTCACTGAAGCACAGGTCTTTTCATCCTTCTGATCTTATTTTTATTATAGTAGCAGGACGTTCTTGCGGTTGACATGTGTTGTTTGTGCACTGGGTTGCAGATTAAGTGTTACATGCAACAGCTTCTTCGTGGACTTGAGCATTGTCATAGTCATGGTATCTTGCACCGTGACATCAAGGGATCAAATCTTTTGATCGACCATTATGGCAACCTTAAGATTGCTGACTTTGGGCTAGCAACCTTTTACCGACCCCGCCAAAAGCAGCCCCTGACAAGTCGGGTAGTAACCTTGTGGTACCGACCACCTGAACTTCTGCTTGGCTCTACAGACTATGGGGTTGCTGTGGATTTGTGGAGTGCTGGTTGTATTCTTGCAGAATTATTTGCTGGGAAGCCTATCATGCCAGGAAGAACAGAGGTATTTTTCCCAGCTTCTTCATGATATATACACCTAAAACTATAAATGTATATATTTATGTCCGCTTGCTTTACATGTATTAGATGTGGAAAAAAAAAAAAAAACTAGGTATTCATAGTCATTTTGAACTCCCAACAGCAAACTTCGAATTTAGTATCTTTGTATGTGAATGTGTTATGGGTATGAGAGGGGAATATAAACACAAAGTCCTGCTTACATGTTTGATAACTGGTTTTGCCATATGGTCCGAAATAGGCCACAACTGCGTTGTTCTTTGTTTGTTTCTTCCCACCATCATTTGATAAAGATATGCGCTGTAACTTAGAATGTAAGCATGAAGAATTTAAACTACTCTGAGATGCAACTGTAGTCGTTCAAAAGCACGAGCTTGATGTTTGACTGATTTGAACGTTTACGTAACCAGATTGTAATGAATTTCATTTTGTATGGTTAAGGCCTTGTGCTCTAACGTGAATCTAGCAACTATGCCAATGAAACTATCAGACATCTTATTTGATTGTGATGAGATCTCATTGTTTATTGTTTTTGAAGGTGGAGCAACTACATAAGATATTCAAACTTTGTGGCTCACCTTCTGAAGAATACTGGAAGAGATCAAAATTGCCACATGCAACTATTTTTAAACCAACACATCCATACAAGAGATGTGTTGCTGAGACATTCAAGGACTTCCCTCAATCCACATTGGCCCTGTTAGAGGTTCTTCTAGATGTAGAACCTGAAGGACGGGGAACAGCTTCTTCTGCCCTTCAGAGTGAGGTAATCACGGGTTTTCTTTGCTTTTGGAAACCATGCTGCCTATTTCTGTTGGATTTTGTGATCTTGTCAATTTGAAACAATTTTGGAAATTAGATCTTACTTCTGATCTATTTTTATTTATTTTTGTTTCCCAGTTCTTCACATCTTTGCCTCTTCCCTGTGATCCATCAAGTTTGCCCAAGTACCCACCGAGCAAAGAGTTTGATGCCAAGCTCCGAGACGAGGAAGCTAGAAGGTGAGCTATTTCCAAATTGTATTAACTAATTTTCAGGTCCTTGTGCAAGCGTTGGTTACGAAATCTCTTTACTCATACCATTAAAGAGTATCTATTTACAGAGAGAATAATGTTCTCTTGCTAGATATTTCACATGTTATGTTGCCAAGATGTCAATCTGGCACCACACATTCAAACAAGAGTCCATCTAATTAATGGAAAGAGATGTGTATGTGTGTTTTGAGTCAAAACCAATCTTGTTTTTACTCACGCTTGAAAATTATTCTCGTCTGAACCAGGCGAAAAGCAGCTGGTGGTAAAGGTGGGAGTTCCAAAGACTCAAAGGTTGTGCCAGCATCAGATGCCAATGCAATACAGGTATTATTCCCTTAAAAGTTTGTAATTATATCTTCATGTTTTTAAATACAAAACTCAAATTGTTGCAAAGAATTACTTATTTAGGTTCTAAACATTTTGTTGTTTATATTTTCTAATCTTGAAGCGACAAGGACAGGCTAACCCCAAAAGCATCAGTGAGAAGTACAATCCGGAAGAGGATAGTGGCTCTGGCTTTCCTATTGAGCCTCCCAAAGGAGCAGCACCAAATGCCTTCTCCCATTCTGGCCAGTCAGTGCACCCAAGTGCATTTGGATCTTTGCAATCTGGCCATTCTAAGAATGGTGCGGAGTTTAGCAGGCAGAAGTCTTACATGTATCGTGGAGCAGCCCAGTCATCGAGGTTTTCTAATTCAGCTTCAGTTCGAAGTGGTTCACAGTTTGATGGTAATATAGAAAGTGCAAATCCACACTGGCCAGAGGAGCGTATGAATGGCAGATATAACTATTTTGATAACGGGGAGTCCTCTGCGAAACATGATTGGTCCCGCCATTTTCTGGAAAGGCCAAAGTCTTCCCATAAGAAGGATGAACAGCCATCTGGGAAGGAGTCTGCAACGGTAAAGGAGTTTACCATTTTCATCTATTACATGTTTAATTTTAAAATTTGACTCATGCAAAACAATATTTTAAAACTTGTATGTAATAGAAACTCTCATCGCTTGCTTCTGAACCCCATGTCTACACCTTTGTTTACTGCCTTTGTAGAATTTAAACATGAATAATACTGAATCATTTTCCGTTTGGCATCAGGGTTACACTAACAGGAAGAACCGGATTCACTACTCTGGACCATTGATGCCCCCTGGAGGAAACATTGAGGAGATGCTCAAGGAGCATGAGAAACAAATACAACATGCTGTCCGCAAAGCTCGCCTGGACAAGACCAAAACCAAGAAAGCTAACAGTGACAATGGACAAACAGAATCCCTACTTCAGCATGTAAGAAACGGCAGGTGATGACGAAAGAGAGAATTGCACTGCCTTAATTTTGAAAGCCAGAGCTCCTCAGATCGGCATAATTCTGATATTGAAGAATATATTCCTTTCGAGAACTTGACAAATCTCATCACGGAAAGATAAACTGGGACGCATGGAGCTCCTTCTGATTATATCACATCGAATATATACTCGATTTATGAAGGTACGCCATCAACCATCAACTCGAGTACTAATCATCACATGCTAGAGTTGATTCAGAACGAGTATTAATCTTGCATTCGAAGTTTGTTAAATCCGCGGGCATTGACTTATAACCTGCTCCTGAATGATGGTATTTGTTATTGACAAACCGGAAAATGTTTCGTGGGCAGATGGCGAGAGAAGATCGTCGCTTTGGTGTTGAGATGCTGGAGACAAGCTGAAACCCTATCTGCTCAATCAGCTCTATTACATTCTTTGTAAAGTAAAAGGTTAAGTTATATGATTAAGTAGGAGGTTTTGTCATCACATTCACAAGTGCATATAATTAAGGATAAGCCTCCGATGTGTGCAGTTTGTTTGTCGTAGATTAATTTTTTACAAGGTTATATTGCAAGCTGTTTTAATTTAAGGAGATGAACATACGAACCTGGAAGCAACGCGGGACGTTGTTTAGGGTGGTGTTATCCACACACGTCTTTTTACTTCTCACACTTTTTTAATTTCCGATCGTCAGATGAAATTTATTAAAGAAGATCAAAGGACAAATTAACAAGGAATGTGTAGAAAGTAAAAATTAGTGTAGATAGCATCACCCTTGTTTTATTGCTTGAATCAAAATCCTGGAGTCCCCTTCAATAATAATTTGATTAAAACTTAAATCCATTTCTGTGATTAACTATAAAGACTATGAATAAAATGTATCTAAACTAACAATGAACATGATAAAAATACAAAAATTGATTACAAAATGGATAATGATAGGGTAGACAAAATTTCTAAATCAAATGATGTGTTAACAATAAAAAATAAGTACGTTAATCGATACTTAACATTCCAATTATTGACGACCACATCATTTGGTTTAAAAATTTGTTCTCCCTAGCATTACCCTTACAAAATAATATTTTGTTTTTGTAAATACCTATAAAGAATTGGAATTTTTCAAGCTAAGAACATTTTGAAAAAAAAAAAAAAATTGGATCAGAAATTCAAAATTCCTATAATTTTTTTTGGAATATTTGGAATCCCTATATTCATTTCAATTTCCATATAAGAGAAAAGTATACATTTGGCAATTTAAGATTCCAATAAACTAAATTAATGAGTGTAAACTGAAGAAAGAGTAGATGGTAAGTTTATTAATTAATTAATTTAATTTCTTTTCTTTTTCGCAAGAAATAATTACATGTATGAGCTATTCATGGTTAGTTTGTAAACACATGGCACAAATCGATAGCGGGGTAACGCTACATACATCCTGATTAAGGAGGATAAGCAAAATCGAGTTTTATTATGCATGATACCTATAATACGTTTTTGAAGTGTCAATAACAACTCCATAAATAAAACCTAGTACTCTATCATCAACACCTCCAAACTCAGGAAATTAAGCAGCCACTAAACAAATCTCAGAATTTAAAAATGGCCAAACAATTGAGACCTGCAACCAAATGGAACTCGTAGATCTACCCACCTTAACTTGATCCCTTTGCTTCACAAAGAATCCTAGCAGCTCTTATGTCTTGATCAATTAAGCATCCGAACCAACTTCCTTCCCTTCGTGTTTAAGCATCCAATACAAGTACTACAACGCAACGCCTCCTCATCAACCCAGTCTCTTTCTTCCTCCAACTCACTCTACCAAATTAGTCAAAACCGTTACATATACATACATGCATATACATATATATATTACAGAAATTATATGCGCATACACATATATATGCTTGGTTTAGGGTTCCAACCTCTCATCTTAACCTATTTCTCTCCACACATACTGATCAAAGACACACAAAAAACCAGATAAAACCAGCCAAACCATGAGAACCAAAACCTATCCAACTTTCAATGTTAAGCTTCTCCTCCTTGGAATTTTCCTTGCTTTGGTTGTCATCTTTGTCTTCAGGACAAGTTCTGATTCATCACCAGCTTCCTCCAATGAAAAATCCCCCATTTCGGGGAAACAAGCCAAAGATGATCACGAAAAATCAACAAATTGTGACTCCACAGGGACTTGCAACAAGATTCCAACCTCCCTAGCCAAAGCCCTAATCCACTACACAACCTCCACCATCACCCCACAACAAACCCTAAAAGAAATCTCAGTCACATCCAAGGTCTTGGACAAGAAATCGCCCTGCAACTTCCTCGTCTTCGGCCTAGGCCACGACAGCCTCATGTGGACTTCCCTCAACCACGGCGGACGCACCATTTTCCTCGAAGAAGACGAGTCATGGATAGAGCAAATCCGGCGCCGCTTCCCCACTTTGGAATCGTACCATGTCACATACGATAGCAAAGTGAACGAGGCTAACAGTCTCATGGATGTTGGGAAGGGGCCTGAGTGCACTGCAGTTGGTGATCCTAGGTATAGCGTATGCCAGCTGGCACTCAAGGGGTTGCCCAGTGAAGTGTATGAGATAAAATGGGATTTGATCATGGTGGATGCACCCACAGGGTATCATGATGAAGCACCAGGGAGGATGAGTGCCATTTATACGGCTGGGATGATGGCCAGGAACAAAGAGGGGGGAGAGACTGATGTGTTTGTGCATGATGTGAATAGGGATGTGGAAGATAAGTTCTCCAAGGCTTTTCTTTGTGAAGGGTACATGAAAAAACAAGAAGGGAGGTTGAGGCACTTCAATATTCCTAGTCACAAGGATAGTTCCAACAGGCCCTTTTGCCCCGAGTAAATAATTCATGTGTTTTTTTTTTTTTTTTTTGCAAATTAATTCATGTTTCATATGATCATATCGATTTTGATTGTCTCAATTTGATTCCATCCATTTAAGCGTTTCTTTCTGTTTTTTTTTTTACTTATGGCCATCCTTATGTAATTTAGTGTACGTCTAGAACTTCAAAGATCGTCGGGCCCTAGAATGAATATAAACTATGAAAACCTTTGCTTTTCTTGTTGTGTTTTTCTTTCACTCAAGTCTTCCTTCCTTATATAGTGGTTCGGAAGAGTGGAGAATGACAAATTAGTCCATGAAAATCCTAAGTATATTCCAGTATGAATATCTTTTAATTTTCTTCTAACTATACCAATAATAATAAAGATAAATTATATCAATCAAACACCCTCATTTAGATGGATTAACATTTTATTTATCTAATAGATAAATCCTACAATGATCAACAAAGTCCCACCCGGATAGTTTTGATAAGTGCTTCTCCAAGAGTATTCCATTGTACGACTACGATTGACGAAGAGGACCTACTTCATCTTCTCGTATATCTATAAAAATCCTTTTTCAAAAAACAACAGGGAAATTTTGTTTCTTCATCTCAGTTTTATTTGACCAAGTATAACAATAATCTACTTAAATTGGAGATAATGATGGCGCACAAGTTACGAGGTCGAGATGTGATGGCTGACATTAAATTGACTATATAACCCCATCTGTAGATGACGTCACAAACCAACTTAATAACGAAGCCATAGTAAGATATTTATGATGTATAAGAATTTGAACCAAAAGATGTTCATTGAAATAATAAATTCAAAGCTGCTACATAAGTACTTATCATCCTTCTTACTTGGGGGTATTATCTCGGGTTTGATCCCGTTATTAATCACATCACATCATAGTAGCTAGAAGTTTCACACAGCAGTAAATACAACAAAGTGCAGTGCTATGTATAATCAAAAGTGCGATCGTGCAATAATTATTACAACATAGATAAAACTGTAGTAAATGAGTCATCACCCAAAACCCAGAGGTTGAAAGCCTCACTGCCAAGCCCACTCGTCCCCACCGATGTTCTCCTTAGTCTCGTTACATCCTGAAGGGGTCGATAAAACAAAACGTGAGTAGACCAGTTTTATCACAATTATAAAATTTTCATTTAAACATAATAACCCCTGTTTTGAAAACATATATAGTAAAAAACTATATAATATAATACTACCATAATAGTAAAGTCTCATTCATCAATATCAACGAAAAACCATCAAGTCAAATCCAGAAATCATACATTCAATCAATCAGTCATGCTAGCATCCACTAACATAAGTATAGCAAGCAGGAAATATACTAGCATCAACTAGTTAATCTCAATACCAGTAATAATCATCAACCCTAGCGTCCACTAGGACAAATATAACTTGCAAACAAATCTACGGCCGAAGATAGCTACACAACTCATCACCTGATGACCATGTGGTCAAAATAGATCACGAATGATCTAAAGATATTATCGATATGGTCACTAGTCTCGTCAAAGACTTAACATATTAATATGCATCCACATATTAAGCATATATGCATATATAAGCATGTATATATATGTATATATATATTAATGACTAACTATGAATAAGCATTGCTGTTTTTCAAATTTTAATCATTTGACATGGTGATTATTACCGTGATAAAGTGGTCGTATGAGGTGGTGGTGACAATGATGCTGGTACAAGTGTCCCATGGTAATTGTTGGCAAGATAGTGATATTATATGTATTGTCTTAAGTGGCTACAATAGTAGTAGGGATGGTGATTGTGGCGACATGGTGATGGGGTGGTGGAGGATTGGGGTGGGGGCATGGTGATGATAGTGGTAGAGAGAAGTGAAACGAAAGAGTTTCACAACAAGGAGGTATATACAGTCGTGCAAGGTTACTTATTGGACAAATTTGCGATATCGAACACTCAATTAAACACATGTGAACTGTTGTGAAATATAATTGTTGGAATTGAATTAGGATTTGTGGTTATCTCGTTTGTAAAATAAGCATGTTAAGTTGAGTCGAACTGAACTGCAGTATGTAACACACCAATAGGGTCAACAGTGGGAAAAGAACATGTCAATTGAACATCACTGGTGTGGCAAGCCATCTCAGCAGTCATGTTAGTCTGTAACATTATATCTTGCATCTCTTTCCTGATGTCTGTGTGGTGATGTATTACTAGTAATTTTGCTATGAGGGAATATGAAAACATGAAGTTACGTTTTATATTCTTTTGTGTGCCTTTTTCAACCCCAAAGGAGTCTCCCAATATTCCACTATTTAAGTGGACTAGATGTTCCGTAAAGCGTACGAAGCTTGGATTTGTCAAGGAATTCTGATTGATTGAATTTTGATCTTGATCCATGTGGAACTGAAACTCTATTTGGATTATAATGGAGTTTGTGAGACTTTTATCAGAAATTTTGATAGAATTTGTGGATTGACACATATTTTAATGACTAATTATGAATAAGCATTGATGTTTTTCAAATTTTAATCATTTAACATGGTGATTATTACCATGATAAAGTGGTCATATGAGATGGTGGTGGCAACAATGCTGTTTTCCAAATCTTTTCCTTTTTATGTTGAATAATAACTTAATTTCAGAAGAATTTCCCATGGAGCTTTGCATGCTACAAGCGTTGTTATCACAAAATGCTGCAACTCAAATAGGCTATAATTATGTCCACTTTTCCATTTACAACCAACGGGTTAATGCGTTCTTTTTTTTTTTTTTTTTTTTCTAAATGGGTTAAGAAAAAATTTATATATTGAATTAGATTATGCGGGTAGTTTAGGTGGTAAATTTGGGTTTGAAGAGATATTGATTGTTTAATTAAGAGTAATATAGGTGAAGAGAGTAAGTTAAGTGTAAAAATAAGTTATATGAGTTCAAATAAAATTTTTCATCCCGTAATTGAAATCTAATTCCATGTTTTGATTATGATTACGAGTTTGTAAACATACCATAAAGTTAGTTGACAAGTTGGACTGAGGTGAAAAGATCACAAAATTATACGGATGAAAAATATTAACCAAAAGTAAAATTAAAAGAACGAAAGTGAAAATTAAAGTACATTAATTCGGCCTTTACAAAATGCAAAACAAAATCGTCATTGCATGATTGCATCTACGGTAAATTATATTTTACCACCTTATGTTTGAGGTTTATTGCAATCTCATACAACATTTTCAAAAAATTTCATTTTAATACCTTACGTACTATTTTATTTTAATATAATATGTTCGTTATATTTTCCATCCATTGATCCATTGAGAGCTGACGTGGCTGCCACATTTGTGCCACATGGCAAACAAATATTTTTTTTATTCATTTAAATATTAATAAACTTTTTGTAAAATTCAATTTTTTTCTTCTCACCCTTGGGCTTAATTTTTGTTTGGTTACAAACAAAATGACGTTGAGTCCGTGCAGATCGCTGGTTCTCGAGTCGAGTCGGTCAGATATGTCCATGGCGTGCAAAGCGCTCACGACAGAGGCAGAATCGCTAGTTCTCGAGCACCAGGTGAGGGGTGCACACGATAAGGGGTGGGGTGGGGTTGGGGGTTGGGGGGGGGGTGTTGCGGGGGAGGTCGGGGTGGGGTGGGTTTTTGGATGGGAGGGGAGGTGAAGAGGGTGGAGGGGAGAGAGGTGGGTTTCTGGGTTTATTTGTTTATTTGTTTTTTTTTAAAGGATCAATATAATATTTTTAATGCATAAAGAATTATGTTTTGTCACATGGTATAAATTTAGCAGCCATGCTAACTCGTAACGAACCAATAGATGGAAAATGTAAATGATGTATTATATTGAAATAAAATAGTACGTGAGGTATAAAATGAGGTATAAAAGTGAAATTTTTTGAAGATATTGTATTAGGTTGCAACAGACCTCAAACCTGAGGTGGTAAAGTGTAATTTACCATTGCATCTATATTCTTATTGGAGAACAAATGGCTTGTCGTTTGCGCTTCAAAGCTGATAATGAATTGACAACAAGCTTCTAAAAGACGCTAAGTGCTAGTCGGATGACGAGTTGGGGTTCATGCCTAGACAGCTAGACGGGGTCCAACTGTTGGAGTGAGATTTCCTACAAGAAGAAATAACTCCATAGATTTGTTGACCGTAATCCTCACGTTTGCCGAATCCTTCTTTGAGGTGGCCCAGAATAACCTTCCTCCGTAGCTTGCCCAGGCAGGGTACCTGCAAAAGATACTCCGACGCTCAAGTCAGTCGATTGGTTTCCTACTCTTTGGATTCTCTCAACTTTTTCCTACATACCTTGTTCTTTGGCTCTTCTCCATAATTATAGGATTGCATGCCTGAAGAACAAGTATCACGATCTCTTTTCCTTTTCCACTTCCTTAGTGGTCCTCTGTAATATGACCGCATGCTTTGGGAACAAGCACCACGTCATATTTTCCTTTCCCACTTCCTCAATGATCCTCTGTAGTGGAGGCGGTTACCTGGACACATGCGCGCGTTCTTCGTGGGCTTTCCTTACGGTTTACCTTGCATAACACCATCCCCTGGGTGACTTAGATTGGCCCATGAGTCGAAACCGGATTTTATCCTCCCACAATGCCCCATTTTTCCCTTTTTTACTTATGTAAAATAGGGGAAAACTAAGTTTTTCGATCATATGTGGCCTTGAAACTATGATTTTTGAACCTAGCTAAACTTTAAGCATTTCTTACTAAGACCAAATTTATGGAAGTTGCTAAACTTTAAGTCATTGTTCCGTGTGCCTAACTCGCGAAAGCCAAACAGGCTTCTTCGCTTACTTTACGAAAGTCACCTCACATCTTCACATAAAATGTGGGCTGACACCTTCCACGAAAGCAGACTGACATTTACGAACGAAGATTTACGAATGAGAATTTAAGTATGAAAATTTACGAACGAGGACTGACACGAAAGTGGACTGACTTGTATGGTTTACGAACGAGGATTTACGTACGAAGATTTACGAGTGAGGATTTACGAAGACATTACGAAGGTGGACTGACATGACGAACGAGAACTGACATTACGAAAGTGGACTGACATGATGAAAGAGGGCTGACATTACGAAAGTGGACTGACATGACAAAAGATGACCGACGAAATTTAACTGAGTAGGCTGTCTGACAGGTTACACGTATGCGTATCTATTATATAACTCACTGTCCCATCTTGTCGAACTGACGAAAGCAGCAGCTGTAGCTGCAGCGCAGAAGCCTAAAACACGTTCACACACTCGCATGCATATATATAGACACCAATATCGACACTTGCCTTTATACATACATATATATGTGTACGTTTGTGGACATCACGTCATTGCCACACTTTTGCATGCTTTTCTATATGTTTACACACCAATATATAGGACTAAATGGATTTAATTAAATTTATTATATTAATTGGACGGTGATCAGACAAGCGCTTAGTCGGGCCTAGGCGGGATTTTTAGGCTATCTCCAACCGAAGGGTCCAGAGGGTCGAAAATAGCCCTAAAACCGTCTCCAACCGAGGGCTAGGCCAGAGGGCTCGGGAATCTGGGAGAGCCCCACGAAATTTCAAAGGGCCAAAGGGCTGACTGCTTTTGCCAGCCAGCTAGCCCCAGGCTGGCTATTTTTTTTTAATGTTTTGTTATTCCTGTCGGTTATGACCGACATGATTTATTAAGAAAAAATTCAAATGAAACAGCTACTAGCCGTTGCATTTGATTTGATATTTTTTTTTACATTATTATTATTATTTTTTATTTACAAAAATTTTCATATAACTTCTATTTTTTCCTATAACTTCTATTTCACAAAATTTATTTCATATTTTTTTTAAATTCCATTTTTTTTCCTATAACTTCCTAAGCCATTATACAATATTAAATTAAATTAAGTAACATGAAACAACATTAAACAATATGAAACAACATTAAATAACATTAACCAACATAAAAATTATACAACATGAAACTTAAATAACATTTTTAAAAACATTTAAAAACATAAAACGTAAATGCCTACTCCATGCTGACGTCGCTTAGCCGTTGGATTTGAATTTAATTTGTAGTTTTTAAATAATAAATTATATTTGACCCTATAGCCCTTTGGCGCTCGATTGGAGATGGTTTTTTGTGAAAGGGCTAAAACGAACCCCTCTGGCCCTCGGTTGGAGATGGAAGCAAATATAACCCTATACTATTTATTAAAATATTAATATCTTGAAAATTTTTGAAGGGTGGGCTCCATCGGTTGGAGATGGCCTTAGAACTGACAGTCGAGGCTGCCCAGCCCGCGGGACGACGCTAAAATAGCAAAGGGTTTAGAGGGCAGAAACAGGAAGAGCAACCATGGCGGGTCCTTGAGTTCTACTGCGGCATTGGCGGAATGGTAATACGGTAACCCATATACCCTAAATACCCCGTTTTGCTTTCCAGTTTTTTAATTCTTCAACGTTTTTTGCTCAAGTTTGCATCTTTGCGATTGTCAGAGGTACTCGCTAATGAGGGTAGGAGTGAACGCCGAAGTTGTGGAAGCGTTCGACATCAACGACAATGCCAACAAAGTTCACCAGCATAATTTCGGCCACCGTCCCTATCAGGTTCTTCCCATTTTTTAGTTCAATTTTGTAATTTATCCAAATTCAAGCTCCTTTTTATACAGTGTGCACAGCCTAAGTACAAATTTGTGGTGTTTGATTTCTTGAGGATCAAAAGTTTTTTTATATATGGCTACCCAATTTGAGTTTCTTACACTTAGGGATCGTTTAAGACTGCTTTTGTAGGAATCACTCTGCTCATAAGCACTTTTGTAGAAGTGCTTTTATCCGTTGAAATTGTTATTGAAATGCAAAGTGCTTGGTGCATTCTATGACCCAGAAATACTTAAAAGCTTTTTGCAAAAAGTAGGCGGAAGCGCCGTTGGTTATTAAAAATTACTTTTAGTGAACAGTTCCAAACAGGCGCTTAATCTCTTAGATGCTTTAATTTTGGATGTTTTACAATTTGTTTGAATATTTTGGTTTAAAATTGCTTGTCAACTGGTTCTGTATGGGGTCAGTTTTGTATTAGTACTGTTGGATAGTGGCCAAATTAGTGGCCAAGGGGACAACAAGCCAACTCTCCTTTCAGCTATTAAACAAAGAAAAGTTTGGTGGACATCATCATGAGTAAAAACACAATGATGATGTTTGTTGAAAAGAAAAAGGAAGGTCATGATGATGTTTGTAAAGGAATGATTATTCCTTTACTTTGGATTTTTTTATAGGCAAATGGAATTGGGTTTATTCAGCTCATTCCTTTGCAACTTGACAAAAGAGCATTTCTTTTGGTATTTTCTAAGGCAGCAGCAGCTGCTATATGTTTGAGGAGAAGCCGAGAGAAGAAAAGGGAGGGAGCGGCAGATGAGAGAAACCAGGGAGAGCATTCGGCTCTCCCATTTGAATATGAGCTGCTCCTTCCCACCATTTGTAATAATCCCATTTTGTTAGTAATCACTCAATCAAAGGTGTTGGTGCTACTTGTGTAGCTTTTGGGAGAGAAGGATTTTGATATGTGTTTCTTCTTCTCCATTTGTTTCTTAGTTTGAGTGAGAGCTATTGGTTGTATGTGGAATTTGGGTTTGAGAGTTAAAACTCTATTTGTAATCTCCTTTTGATATAAGTAGAATTTCCTCTCCTCGCCGTCTCGGAACTGGACGTAGGCTTACGCCGAACCAGTATAAATCATTGTGTTCTTTGGATTATTTGTCTTGTCATATTTTGCCGTTGTAATTTATTGGTTTCATATTTGACGCTTCCGCACAACAAGTGGTATCAGAGCTCCGGGTTTCGACTTGGAGGCTTTGTACTAGTTTGTCTATGAAATCTTCGAATGACGGTGAAATATGAAAAAATTTGACAGGAGGAATGACTTTGGCATTTGGTCAATTGGAGATACAAGTTTTGCTTGCATTGCTGCGAAATGTGTGGCGTTGAAGAAGGATGGTAAGGGACCATAATGCAGTCCCTGAGCTCGCATATTGGAGAATGGTTCCGGAAAAAAAAAGTAGAAGTTGTTGAGAATTGAAAAGAAAATGTTGGTTCCTTTTCTTTTGCCATTTGTTTTGGCAGAAGGACATCATGATGACAAATGATGTTGTTGGCTAAAGAAAAGGGAAAAAGGCTAAGGCTAAGTTTTCTTCTCTTTGGCATTTTTTCAACGGTAGAGAAGTTTTTCTTCACTCCCACTAGTTGCCTTTGGAGCAAGTTGATGGAAACATTGGAGGAGTTTGTGAGGGCCAATTTGTTGAGTTCTGCAAAGGTTTGGATAGTGAGACATAACACTATTTTGGATACACCACTTGCACTGCATAACATTTGTGTGGAACCCTCTTGTAGAAGGCAAGTTATATGCTTTCTAACTTTGTTTGGTCTATAGACATTTGGTTGGATTTGTTTGCCACTGCTATTTGGTCTGTTGGTCTCCATCATCTGCAATTAGTTTTCTTGAAGACTCCAGTTGAGGTATGATTTTGGATCTCCTGCTGATTATTTGAATTTGAAATTTTTGGTTGTCCTGTTGGTGCTCATGTGATGATGGTAAACTTGAGTGAAGGGCATATTTTTTTGTATGTGGTATGTTAGACCTTGTTGCCAAATTTGTAATCAGTTTTGACTTGGAGAATATGCCATGCTATGTGAATGAGTCTATTGGTACAGTTTCAGACCATGGTGTTTGTGAGCAAGTGGAGTTCGTTGTATGTCCAACTTTGGTATGGTGTGCTTGATCTTTTGTCGGTGATATTGAAGAATTTCAGTTCTTCGTTTGAATCACTTTTGTTTTGATCAAGGCACTTATGGTTTGCAAATTTGGAGAAGACGGTAGAGAAATGGTCTACTTTTGTTGGCTTTGGTACAATTTGAGTCGAGGTGGAGATCATTATGAGTACCGAGAGTTTGGGAATTTGATATAGTTCCCGTTGTCTTTAGTTTGTACTTTGGGTGCTTATGGTGATTGTTGATTCGATTCTCTGTGAAGTTTTCGAAATTTGGCCAAGGTGGAGATTGTTGGATAGTGGCCAAATTAGTGGCCAAGGGGACAACAAGCCAACTCTCCTTTCGGCTATTAAACAAAGAAAAGTTTGGTGGACATCATCATGAGTAAAAACACAATGATGATGTTTGTTGAAAAGAAAAAGGAAGGTCATGATGATGTTTGTAAAGGAATGATTATTCCTTTACTTTGGATTTTTTTATAGGCAAATGGAATTGGGTTTATTCGGCTCCTTCCTTTGCAACTTGACAAAAGAGCTTTTCTTTGGGTATTTTCTAAGGCAGCAGCAGCTGCTATATGTTTGAGGAGAAGCCGAGAGAAGAAAAGGGGGGGAGCGGCAGATGAGAGAAACCAGGGAGAGCATTCGGCTCTCCCATTTGAATATGAGCTGCTCCTTCCCACCATTTGTAATAATCCCATTTTGTTAGTAATCACTCAATCAAAGATGTTGGTGCTACTTGTGTAGCTTTTGGGAGAGAAGGATTTTGATATGTGTTTCTTCTTCTCCATTTGTTTCTTAGTTCGAGTGAGAGCTATTGGTTGTATGTGGGATTTGGGTTTGAGAGTTAAAACTCTATTTGTAATCTCCTTTTGATATAAGTGGAATTTCCTTGCCGTCTCGGAACTGGACGTAGGCTTACGCCGAACCAGTATAAATCATTGTGTTCTTTGGATTATTTGTCTTGTCATATTTTGCCGTTGTAATTTATTGGTTTCATATTTGACGCTTCCGCACAACAAGTACCATTTGTTTCGGTGTTTGGTATTTTGAGCCACTTTCTGATGTTTCCTAAACCTACTTGAGCTCATCTTGCACTGAAATTTGAATATTCTTGTTTGTAAAGGGTAATATTCAGAGCCTTACTGCTGCTGATCTCGACTGTTTGGGGCGGATGCATGACTTCTTTCTCCTCCTTGCCAACTTTACACTCGACAAGGTTAGTTTTCATCATTTTCGTCTTTACAGATGTATGGCAACCGCTTAAACAGATTTTCACTAGTTACTTATGGATAGGTCTCCAGAAGCAATCCGGCGATGCTCAGGCATTTTCATTTCTCAACATTCTTGAGTTGATACTACACACATCTCGACCAATGGTGTTATTTGTGGAAAATGTTGTCGGATTTGAGGTCAATCCTTGGAAGTTTTATCTTAATTGTAGGTAAAATATTGATTTGTTTTTTGTTTTCCAATTCCTTTGTTTTATCTCCTGGCTGCAGACATCTGATACGCATACAAAAATGATAGAGATATTGGGAAGAACAAATTTTGTTCTGCAGGAGTTCATATTGAGTCTGTTACAGTTTGGCGAACCCTATTCCAGGCCACGCTATTTTTGCCTGGTAGCCTCCTCTCTCACTGGTTTTCTAGGTCATTCAGAAGCTCTTGGAAACCTCTTGCTCTTATTCTTTCAAGAGTTAACACATAAATTCATTTATCCTGCAGGCAAGGAGGAAACCTTGAACCTTTCACAACAAGTTTTCAATAATCAGCTTCTTCGCTCGCTAGGGCCATTATTTGGGGATGCAAATGCTGATGAGACAGTGTTCTCTAAACTCGATGAACCACAAGAGAGCCGGGATACGTTACTTGAATATTGTGAGCCTATAGAAAGCTTTCTTGAATTCAAGAATTGCAGTGACCAATCGGAGTCCAATTTTGTGGGCACCACTACTGGTTCTACAAATACTGAAGGAATATTGAAGAAAGATGAAGGGAGTGGATTTTGTAGTGGCATCGTAGATCAGTACATTGTTCCATTAAGCTTGGTAGAGAGGTGGGGAAGTGCCATGGATATCCTTCTTCGTTTCTACGTCCAGTGATGTAAGTATGTAAAATTTGTACTTGGGAAGCTATGTACTTTATTGTATTAAGAAGTAAATATTTGTACCCTTTTTCCCTTTCGGAAGGCTTGTGCTTTGTAGCTCTTATGTGCAGTAATTATTTAGTATTAAACCAGGGAGGATCTGTACATATCCAGGATCTAGTCTCTTGGGACTCAATTACGTCTGTATGGTTCTATGGTGATGACAAGGATGAACACTTAGTCTCCTTATGGTTTTTGTTTTATCATAAGGACTTCTGTGTCTGAACTCTACATTTTTTGTGAGGTAAAATGAAAAACCAAGTTTTTGATCCGGGAACAAGGATCACCATATTCTTACCCCCCACTTGCATGTATTGCTAGCTAATGCATCATGCACCATCTTTCGGTTCTATCATTAATTATTGGTTGAATGATATGGTATCATTGTGTATGTGGAAGATTGGTTATTTTGTTCTGCATATCACATGGAATATGAAGTGTGTTGTAATGCCATATTATCTTTTTACTCATTGAATTGTGCTTGGTTTACTTGTTACCATGTGAATGCATACAGAGTTCGGTTTCACGATTCTTATTTCAAATCCCTGTATTTTCAGGGCCAAGGTTGGACCCTTGCTTGCCTTGCTTCCAAAAGCTTTAGATGATGCTGGGATTTATCATTTTGGCATGTACAATGGGACAATCTATTTCCAATTTTCTTGGTGTACGACTATGTCGCCAGCAAATGGTACAATTGTTTCCTCTGTTTCTTTGATGTGGTTCATTTCAGCTTTGCTGGGAACTAGGACACATCTTGTGCAAAGAACGTGAACTTTTAAAAGGTTTCCAGTTTGCTTGATGCAGTTTACCTGATCTTTTGTTCTATGAACTCTGTATTTTCTATCAATTTTCCGTATTGCTTGACATAAAAAGCTACGTTAGTTTAGCACTATTTCCATGCACTTTCTGAATTTGTCCAGTAAACTTTCTGTATTTTTGTTTTATCTTATTGAACTCTGAAATGTTTATATGATCCATATCCATCTGTTTATTCGAGACTCCTTAACTGTCGGTACCTTGTGCATTTCATTGACAACCTTACATCGCTCCGAATTTACCATATAAAACCCCTGTTTGGCATGCATTTATTTCCTTATTAGTTTATGTACTTCGATCATAGTAATCTGAAGGCACTAATATTTCTGTTTTGATAGTGTCATGACATTACAAGCATATGATATGTTCAATTTAAAATAATAATTCTGATGCTATGAACCTAAGCTTTTGATGGTATTGAAATTGTCATATTTACAGGAGGTGATTCACGCAAGTAGAGAGAAGTGAAAGGAAAGAACTAAACTGCTTTGGATGATGAGAAGTCTGTAACTAGATTCATGTTATGCAATTGTTTATTTGGAATACGATCATGGTAATTGCGTATTTGTTTGAAATTAGCAAGAAAATTACTCTGTTCGCATACACAAACATAAATATTGGTACAACTTATTCATGCAGTAATAGTTATGAAGATTCAACAGTAATATCATAAATCTTTTCAAACATTGGCATATCCAAGTTGGTTAAAGCAACGCTCTTTCACTCTGCACTTAAGTTCGAATGCTCATAGTTTCTCTTGAATTATGGCATAGAGCTTGCTCACAATATTATTTTGGAACCGCGAAAACCCAGTACTCCATGGCATGTTCAACAACAACGAGCCAAGAACACTCCAAAATCCAAATGCAAACCCTAGTCCCAAGCTCAGATCCAACCAACCGTCTTCAAGTAAACGACCAATTCCTCCCTTTTTTTGATCACCCGATGAAATTAACTCTCCCCACATTGGTTTGCCACTTTTCAGTTTCCCGACCTATCAAGGCTCTGAAAGCTGTGTGCTCTGGTGTCCTGTCAGATAGTTGGACAAGTTCAAGTTGCTTAGAAATGTTAACTTTGACATGCTTGGAGAAATCTGACCAGTAAGTTTGTTCCTCGAGAGATCGAGAGATTCCAACCATCTCATATCACCAATCTTTGAAGGGATTTTTCCAACCAAAAGATTTCCTGATAAGTTGAATGATTGCAAGTAGATGAGGCTGGTCAGCTCTTCAATCTCTCTTCAATAAAGTCCTGAAATAAAGGCTTGTTACCAAGCTGTAAAGTATTTTGTTATACTCCATCTCTCTACCTTTTCTCACCAAGATTGCATTCTCTATGTAGTTGTCCTCGAAGGAGGCTTCACCATCACCAAATGATATAGTGGAGAACAAAATGGGGTCTCTCGAGTTTGAAAAATTTGCCATGGCTGTGAAATCTTTGTTACATTGTAATTGCCTCCGGAAAAGGTGTTTCCCGCGACCGTCTAATCTGGAGATATTCGGAGACTGATAGTTGGCATGTTGAAATGTTGCGAGGTCGAACGGAGTGAAGATGACAAATGGGTAAGTTTTCCAATGTTGTATGGTTCCAACAAATTCATTTTTGTGAAGATCAAGAAGGAACAAGGACTCACAATTTTGTGTAGGGAAGTAGGTATTCTCCAGAAGAATGATTATTGCGGTCAATGATCGGAGGAGTCCTAAGTGTCCAACGGAGGCTGGAATGTTCCCACCCAAATTGTTGTTTTCTAAGTTGAGAAGTGTCAAGTTTTGTAGATTGTCCAAACAGTCAGGAATTTCTCCGTTGAGAAAATTGTCTTGAAGTTGAAGAATTTCAAGTTGTTGCCCCCCCAGTTCCAAAAGAAATGAAACAGAGTTCCGGAAAATGATGAGTTGAAAATCAATTGTGGGAAGAAAACAAAGGTAATGAACCGTGGAACTGGTTAGAACCTAGGTTAATTACTTCTGAAGACATAGAATCTATATTCAGAACCTTTCCGTACAATTGATTGTAAGAGAGATCCAAAAGGCCTAATCCAAGGGAGGAAAAGTTCCAAAACCAAGTAGGAATGATACCTGAAATAGCTGTATTTGACAGGTTAAGAGCATACAGTTTTGTTTGAGTTTGAAGCCATGCAGGCAACTCTGATGGCTCTAGATGCCAAGAATTTAGAAACAAGGTGTTTAGTTGGAAGGGAGGAAGCCAATCTAGACTAGTTTTCAGAGTCAGCGAATTTTCGCTTGCATAAAAGTATTTCAGTTTTGTAAGATTGGTGAAATGAACTTCGGAGACAACACCCTCTAATTGATTGTTACCAATGTCCAAACTTTCTAAGCATGACAGATTTCCCAAAGATACTGGAATCGGACCTGATATTGAATTACTTGAAAAGTCAAGCGAGCCTAAATTTTTGAAGTTACCAAGCTGAGACAGATAACCTGAAAGATTATTATCTGATAGACCCAATAACTCAATGCGCCCTGAACTGCACGTAGACAAGCTTTCAAATATTTCTGAAATGCTTCCGCTAAAATTGTTCCTCGAAAATTCGAGAACCATCAGCTTACAAAGGTTTCCCAATGAGTTTGGGATTTTCCCATCAAGTTGGTTGTCCGATGTGTCAAGATTGACAAGGGCTGTTAAGTTTCCAATGGAACTTGAAATCACCATGAAGTTTATTTTCTGAAAAACTAGTGTTTCAAGATTGCTAAAATTTATTTCAATTATAGAACGATATAGAGTTGTAAATAAGAGTCGAAGATTTTCCAAAATTCAAGTTGGTTGTCCATCCTAACAAATATTTGTATTAAGCAATTCAGGTGTTGCCAAAAGAGAAAGGCCAGAAATCCATTGAAGGTTCTCAACTACCAAAAGGTTATCAAACACTTCAAGAGTGCAAGACTCGAGAGGTTATCCTAGTTGAGGAGGAATTCTCCTAAACCTTGCTTCTGAAAGTTGAGATATCTTAATTTCAAAGAACTAAGAAGCAGAAATCTTTTTTCCTTCTCAAATCATTTCTGTATAAGGTCTAGGTAGCTAAGATGCATTTAAGTTGAGCAGAAGGATTTTAACTTCCGAACCTTGACTAAGTGAGAATTCTATCATGAAAAAATTCCCTAAATCGGACAATGAAACATTTATCGCAATCGATAACTCCAGTCCAGTTGAGCAGTCTCCTTCGTTTTAACCCAGTGAAACCCTTTGAAGACTTGAGGTCTTGCTTCAATCAAAAGCTGTCTCTCAATTTCCTTGCAGGCACACTTTCATTGCCATGGGGGGTTTAAATGCTAAACACAAATCCTTGGATTACATAAATGCTTAGATATATGCTAGAGAATGAAACAATGCTCATCTGAGGGAAACAATCTCATTTGGATTTTTTGTTAAATTTTGTTTAATATAAACATATATCAAGTGTTTGGGGTGGGTGATGAGGGAATGAATTTTAGTGCGTCATCTAGTCTAGTTAATATATAAACATGTATTGAGGAGAGAGAGTCCAAATGTGGCTACTCAATACAATATGTTGAAAGATGATACCAGCGTCAGTAAGTGTGTCACGCTCAAGAGCAGGGCCAGGAAATTTCCTAAGGGCCATGCTGCATTTGGTACTTGGCATAATTGCAATCATAAGTGTTGCCTAGACTCACAATAAGTCTTTATCAGCAAGGACATTTAAAATAATTACTTTCAAGAGGCTATTTTTGACATCACCAACAAATGGTTACTGACTAGTTCTTTAGGGTCAGTCAAAGAAGAGACGAAATGGAAAAAGAAAAGTGTGACATGCCTTATTCAAATCACATTCACACCTAATTTTCCACGCAAAAAAGATGGTCCTTGGTCCAACCCCAAAGAAAACTAGTGTGGTTTTAAACTTTTAATTAGGGTTTTTTTTTGGTTTAAAGTTTGCTCAAAATCTTCCTGGCTTCTGAAATCAAGGCTAGTGGTTTTCAGATAATCTTAGGTGGTGTATCGTATATAGAGTTTTCATATATGATGATTTTTGAGCTTGATCCATGTGGATTTTAACTGAATTCTATTTGGATTATAATGGAGTTTTTGATACTTTTATCAGAAAATTTAATAGAATTTGTGGATTGTCAAGGATATTTTAATGACTAATTATAATAAAAGCATTTGCTGTTTTTAAAAAAATTTTTAGTGTGCATGGAATAGTGGCACAACAAAGTTGTGGAAATGCATGTGGGTCAGCAGCAAATAGTGATAGTATAGGTGTTGTCTTAAGTGGCTGCAATAATAAGGGTGGTGATTGTGGTGGGCAACATGGTTTTGGGGTGGTGGAGGAATGGGGATGGGGGCGGTGGTGATGGGAGTGGTAGAGAGAAGTGAAGGGAAAGAGCTTCACACCAAGGAGGTGTATTATCTTTGGACAGTGCAAGGTTACTTATTACACAAGTTTGCGATATTCTAACATATGTCAATCGACATCTGAACTATAGTGAAATATGATTTTCACAATTGAGTTAGGATTTGTGGTTATCTCATTTGTAAAATAAGCATGCTAAGTTGAATCGAACTTAATGGAGTGCAAACCATACCACAGTGTAACATTGGGAAAAGAACATGTCAATTGAACATCACTGGTGTGGCACGCCAACTCAGCTGCCATGTTAATATGTAACATTATATCTTGCATCTCTTTTTCCTGGTGTCTGTGTGGTGCTGTATTAATGGTAATTTTGCTATGAGGGATATAAAAACTTGAAGTTACGTGTATTAATGTAACTAGTAACGATTGCAATCAACATGGCGGTGATGCGGGAATGAAAACCGTACAAATTTTTTTGTATATAGTATTATTTATACATAAAGGATAATACTTGATGTGTGTACATACTATTTACACTATTTACATACAAAAGATTTAATGGATAATGCTATTGATAATCTCACTATATATGCGGATAATCACGCTATTTTACTCTACCATAACCAAACTGTGGTTCTAACGAATCTTAAGTCGTCAGTTAATCTCTGAAGGAAAATGTCTCTATTAATTAGTTGTAGGAGTTCCCTGAATGGCTTTCCCCCACCACCTGGTTTCATGGATTGGCAGAAGTCATGGTTCCAGATCTCCACTTAAACAATCTGAAGACACATCAAATCTCATAAAGTTTGAACAAAATCTACAAATTAACTTGTACTATCACATGTGAAGATTGGTAGACACTGAAATGAATAATATGTACATAAAAATTGAAAGTGATTGATAGCCAAACCCTGAAATCACCACAACATGTATGAGTTCTACAAAGGTTTCAGAGCTTACATAGAAAAAGAACGATGTCAGAAGTAGAGGAAAGGGGAGGTGATGGGATTGTAGTAGAGGTCACGGTGAAAAGGAAAGCAGCGGGTGTATCCACCAGGACCAGGACAATCCACCATAAGCAAATGTAGGAAGAAAATACATTTGTTGAGCGTCACCTAACCAATATAGTAAGTCAAGCTATTCCTTACTATGGAATCATATGAATTACTTGGCCAAGCTAATCTCCTGTATCCATTAACAGGTATGTAAGTGGAGACTAAGATTTTATATTTTTGAAATGCTGAATTACGTTATCTAATTATATGCAATGACATTAGTGAAGACTAAGGGTGCGTTTATTGCACCGACTGTCTCGGACTGGACTAGTTGTAGGGATTAAGCTGGACTGGCTTAGACTAGACTAAGCTGGACTAGCTTAGTGAAACGTTTGTGATGTGAAAATTAACTTGACACACAAATTAAACCCTATGGATGAAATTGTAAGATATGAGCAAATAGGGATCGTTCAAGGCCGGGGATAATAACTAGGGATAATATAACCATCATTAAAACTACTACAAACCAAGAACATAAAAATATAATGTAAAACTAACTCAAATTAATGCAAAACTAGGGTTAAAATACCTAACAACAAAACTCAAACAGCACTAAAAGGCTCAAAAGCCCTAAAACACTTTCTGGGCAGTTTTGAGTACTAGTTTGGACGAATTTGGATTATGACTTGACTCAAAACACTTTAAAAACACAACTAAATGGATTTCTAACTAATCTAAACACTTTAAAAAAAATGGGGGAATGATTTTGACGAAATTAAAACTTTAAAACTCAAACTTTAAAAACAAATGTAAAGCAAAAACAGATTGATAAAAAATAGAAAAATGAGAGCTAGTTATTAGTTCCATCCAACAGAACAATTACATACAAACTCGATCTCCAATTACTCTTTCAAACATGAATGAAAATGTCCAAATTAAACTAGATTGCACCAATTAATTCTCAGATTTCCTAGATTCATTGAATTGAATGGAAACGCCTTACAACCAAATTATTCTTATCAAGGGCCCTAACTATGGAATACGCATGATAGAGACACATATCAAAGATCATTAATGTTCATGGACATCATAAGCATTGACGAGGCATTCATAACTATATATGGCATGTTACTCTTGCCTAGGATTTACTTAACATCGTGACTCCTTTCACTACTTATTAATTATATAAGTTAATGACGATTAGGTGAAATTCTCTTATTATCCATCAAGCATCAATTTAGGCATGCAAATTAAGTGTCGAAACCTCAACCAACACACATAAACAAGTATACAATTTATGATAAGTAAATCACATTCACAAAAATCTGAAATCATAATTGGAAGAAATCCAATTCATATAAACATATGTCCATGCTTCGTCACCCTAACTAAAAAGAAATTAGTTTCCACATGTAAACATAATTGAAAGGCAAGTTAAAATTAACATGAAAACAAAGAAAAGAAAGAAAGAACTCCAAACACTCCCACAATGGCAGATGTGCATGTGCAAGGCTTCTCCTTCCTTTGGACTGCACGGCACTCTCCTCTACCTTTAGTGCGCTGCACAAGTGGATGAATGGTTATGGAAATGACTGGTTTGGGGTTGGGCTGTGTAGAATCAGAAATATGGAAGTTTTAGGGTGAAAGCGGCGTATGTAACTAGGGTTTTTGGCGTGAATGAATTAGATGGGGAGTGGTAGGTTCGGCCAAAGGGTTAGAATGAATATATATAGGCACTTAAAAACCCTAGCAATCAGATTAGGGTTTCTAGAAACCCAAATCCACCAGAAATTAGGTTAACACAATAGGAATTTGCATGGGAAAAGGGCTAGGGTGCGGCAGATTTGGTGGGAGTGTGGATAGGCCTTCTAGAAAGCCTTGCAAGGCAAGGAAATCAGATATTTTGGGGCCTAGGTGCGGCAAAGGCTTAGAAGTCAGAAATATGCAATGGGCTAGGGTTTAGGTGCGGCATTAAGTGAGGATCCAAGATGAATTGGGCTAGGAAGGTGCGGCCTTGTCCAAGAGGTAAGGATGGGTCATCTAGAAGCCCAAAGCCAAGAATAGAAACTCTCACAAATGGAAACCTCCGAGAATAGAAACTTCCAACTTTAGAAACTTTGGTTTCTAATTCTGAATTCTTTGTTCTTCACTTTCATTTCTTCATTTCTTAAGCTCCCTTGACCTTCAAACTCGTCCATTCCTTGTGCTCCAAGCATGTACTTTTCAATCCAAGCTCACTTTTGCTCTAAAATGCTCCATTTTGCCATCTTTTATGTATTATGCCCCTTTGAACCTGAAAACACATGAAAGTAGCTCAAAAGACTACTCTAATGAAGAAAACATAACGAAAATGCATAAGAACTAGCTAACTAAGGCGCATAAATATGCTCCTATCAAATTCCCCCACACTTAGCTTTTGCTAGTCCTCGAGCAAAACAAAGAAACAAAAGAAACAAAATGAAACAAAACAAACAAAAACAACCTAAAACCTTCCAACATTTTGCCTCAGGGATTTCCAATGCACATGACAAATTAAAAATCATCATTCCCACAGATTTTAGCCATCTTTACACTTAAGCACATACTTAATTATAGTTACCACGTACTAGTTCGCATTTAACCAAGTAAAACATGATTTTGAATGTAGTAACATGCCTTAGAGAATTTGCTCAATTCCTCACTAGATATGCACTCAATTTTCACACAGATTTTCTGACTACACACCCTATACTAGTTATATGTGAGAAGATTGATGTAAATATGAAAACGAATGCTCACATATGTTATAACAAGGAAAGCTTTTTCTGAATTTAATAAGCATGTATATGATCTCATGAAAGGAATGCTACTACTTAGACGCGAGAACCAGTGACACCATATGCTCATACCAATCCCAAACTCCACAAATTGAAATACACAACACTCAAGATAGAAGTTAAGGGTTGTAACGGAGCTTGGGGTATTGGCTAACAAAGAAAGGTGAAGGGTAAACAAACGTTCTTAAAACAATAGTAAGCAAAGCAATGAAATTGACACTTAGAATTCACTTTTGAATGCAAAAATCAACTTTTAAACTCAAAGGGGAAATTCATGCAACACTTAGGGTCAAATTCACTGTTTTGGACCCATTCTTCAACAACCAACACCTTAGAGCTCATTTTCATGCTCTTTCAACTCTTTTTCACACTTTTCACATTTTTTTTTTCTTTTCTTTTTCTTTTCTACCCCATGCCTCATTTAAGACTTTGGCACACAATACACAAGGCTCACTTTCCCCCACACTTGTTTTCTGCACACCCTTGATCAAAAGGAATTCATTTTAAGTCATGCTTACTATGCTTTAAGAACAAGGGTATGGATGGTCCTAATCTAGGCTAGGTAAGGATAACGTGGGTTAACAAACAATATAGGCTAAACAAGGCTCAACGGGGCTAAAACCTACAAAAACAAATGTATGGAATGAAGGCTTTTTGGCTATGGTGGTAACTACTAAACAACTTCATCTTGAATACGTGTTATGCAATTCAATGAAATGTTTTGAATGAAATTGGCATGAGTTCTAGCATTTGGAACTAAAGTGATGAAACGCCTTCTAAGTAATAACCAAGCAAAGAATAGTGAGATCATGCAACGACTTTAGAAAACAAGAATGCACAGATTTTAACTCTCCAGATAATGTTTAGGCTCAAGTCTCACAAGGTTGTAGCGTTAGTTTGAGTTCCTTCCTTCAAACATGTTACAAAAACTAATTTTTTTTCTTTATGATTACATGTGAATTCATAAGTTATAACCACAACCAAGCATAAACCAAGAGTAAATCAAACTTTCATCCATGTTTATAACTCTCTTTAACAGTCATGCAATTAAAAACCGAATCCTCATCATTGTGTTGGAAGGTACCCTAAGACAAACAAACACACAAAAACAACTTAAAAACGACTCTTTTTGGGTTTTGTAAAACAATTTTTCAAAAAACAGCAAAAAACAACATTGGAAATTATGAGTGAGAAAACCCTACGAATTTGCATCAAAACACTTTGGTTACCGTTTGGTGCAATGTCGGACTAAGAAGCAGGATAATGAAAACAGTATTGTCACCAGTTTGATGTTTGCTCAGAATAGTACTATATTATTGTTCTATTTTAATTGCTTTTTATAAATATATTATTAAAATTAATAATATTGGATGAGAGTGAGACTCAATAAAAATACAAAAACCAAATTTGCTTGCCAACGAAAGAAACATACATGATTCAAAACATGAATATAACAAAGTGTTCTCCCAACAATCGACAAGGTTCATGACGCTTTTCTTAATTATTCACCTTTGGTTTAAAGTTGTAGATTAAAGTTAAAGGTATTTGAGTAGAACGAAAATTGATGTCTGACAAGTTCAGTTTGTTACGCAATTGTGAAATAATTACTTGGAATTGCTCTTGTATGTATAAGTCAATTTCAATCCATACCATGACAATTGCATTCAATCCCAAGACCACAATGATGCGAGGCAAAAAACCAAACCGATTAGAACCGAATCCACCCCACACATCATTAACTTGAACGAAATAGTTCTTTGACAAGTCATCATTTTGTTTACATGCTTCCACATACTCGCATCCTGAAAATACATTGAACCAACACAAGGGCATGTCCAAAATCTAGGCATATAGTTTTCATTTGAAACAACGTTTGAAACTTCAAGTACATTTAAATGACAATATATAACATATCAAGTCTATGATTAAAAATGAGTGATAACTCATATAACCCTCCACGGTATGAGGATTACCACCACCACGGTTAAGGTAACTTAAGCAGCTCAGTGTACTTGGAACAAAGCACAATTATCACTTCAAGCACCACATGCAGCTTTGCTATTCATTCTTCTGCAGCACTAGCAGCACTTAGGTCCACACTGAGGTCAAGAACCTGCTCAAACATTCCAGGAAATTTGGTTAAACCTTATATGAAAGACATGGTTCTATGAAACAGTAAAAAGAAACAAAGGGATAACTCGGGATGAATAAATATCCACCAACAAGCTATTGGTTCAAAGAATACACAAGTTCCCCCAGAGGCCTGCTCTAAATACCACTGTTTTCTCCTTTTGGTAGTAGTTTGGAGTTGAAATGATAGTAGGATAATATTAATATGCATCAAGCAAGTGTTACCACAATTTTTAAATTTCTGTTGTGTAATTAGATATGCAATTGCAATGTTATCCTACTATCATTAAGATAAAGAAAACTTCGAGAAGTGCTTTGTGCAGCAGCATTCCATGATCCACCGTCTTGAAACAAATAGTCTACGCAACGTTGCGAAGTTTTTTGCGCATTTACTCAGCTCGGACGCCCATCCCTGCATGTATGTACGCCTGACGGAAGAGGACACCACTTCGTCTTCTCGGATTTTCCTCAAGTTCCTTTTCCAGGAATTGTCACAGCAGCAACTCAATGATCCTGCAATGGAGATGCAGGGCTGTTATGATTCTATTTTTCCAAAGGATAATCCCAAGAACACCCGCTTTGCCATTAACTTTTTCGCATCCATTGGGCTGTCGGATGAAGATGAACATGAGAGTGCTAGTTCTGAGTCTGATGAAAGTGAAAGTGATAGGAACAAACGACACAACAAGCACAAGCGTATGCTACAGAGTGAAAGGCGCGAAAGACACGAGCAGCACAAGCGTAGCAGTGGAAGTGAAAGGCACAAAAAACATAAACGGCGAAAGACACAGGCAGCACAAGCGTAGCAGAGAAGTGAAAGGCACAAAAAACACGAACGATGAAACGAACGGTTGTTCGAACCTTGATGCCAAGCAAGAAATTGAATTAACCGAACTAGTACACAGCTTCTCTCTTATTCATGCTTGGTTTTGCAATCTAATTAAGCACTAACTTTGTCCAATGAATTCAAACCAACAGTCTTGTAACAAACAATTAAGTTTTAATTTTTACTTTTATGTTTTTTTTGTTTCTGTAGTACAATATCGAGCATGGTTTTCGAATTATTGCTCGTAAAATGAAAAAAACACTCCCCAGTCTGAGTTACAGAACTGGGCAGGTAGACAGGATGTTAAATTTGAATGACCAAAAAACACACTTTCCTTTCAACAGAAAATAAGATTCCTAAACCCTGGGAATAAACTGATTATAATTGCAAATATATACTGGACTGGACGCAACAATTAAACCATCGATATGGTGGTCTGAAATAATTTTAAAGCAAAAGTTATATCCATACGTTGAGGATATAATGTAAGTCTACAACATGCTGAACAGGAACACAAAACTAAAATCTGATATGCAAAAATACAAATACAAGGCGTCACTCTCAAAAAAACCTCACCCAGTTCATCATTGGAGAAGTCCGACGTGTTATCTTCACTGCAAGCAATTCTCTCAGCAGCACGTAACTTAAAACTCCACATATGCTTTGACTGCAGAAAGCCTTTCTGCAAGCACTCTAGTTCCTTGTCAAGCAAAGTGTATAAGGATCACATTCCAAGCCGGCTTAATTTTTCGTTGCCAATGTTTGAGACCGGAGTTATTACCTATATGGATATACAAGAGATGAAACAGAAATGAGATAACGCTGTAGAATCAGAATACATAATTTGGGTATAGTGATAGGATTTTAGCCATCTGCAAAGCCAGGGTTTTATCACATAGAAATACTTGCAAGAGAACACGGTAATTGTAGTGCAAAAGGCTCAAGCAAGGTCGATCTCCACAGGGACTGACGCCCTTACTATCAATATCAGCAAAAAGAAGAGGAGTTTGCTCGTAATCAACCAAAATCTTGCAATGAAGAAACCAAGTATGCATGCTAATGAATAACACCAAGGATGCAATGATTAGTCTCAAAACCCAAAAAAACAAAACATTGCATCCAGACTCAAGTTGAAAATTGCACAACATAAAATCGAACTATTACCAAAATTGACATTATACTTCAAACACCAACTCATTTAGACACACCTAACAAATGATGAACAAGACTTATTTCACTAATAACATATCTATACCAGTGCAACATGATGTGACACATTACAAATTTTGGCTAAAAAAGTTAATAAAACATATCTACACCAACGTGGCAGATAACATGCCTGAAACCCCAAAACAAAATTGCCTCCAGATAGCACACAATGTGGCACATCAAAGATATGTAGACAGTTTTTTTTTTTTTTTTATTATTGATTCTTCCAATCTGCTTTGTGAGATTACAGGGTGGGGTAAGAAACAATTAAATCCTCATCTCCAGTAGAGGGTTTATCTTATAGAAAGTAATTTCCACCCCCCCATCGACCAGCAATAAGTGCAGCACTAGATAATGATTGCAAAATTATAACTGAAAAAAATAAAGTACAATTTGGTTTTCAATGCGTGTTGTAATTTGCAAATGTGTGAAATAAATTATGAATGGGTTGAAAGTCCTTTATGTAAACTGCAAATATGTATCAACAAGTTTATAATTACCGGGTCAAGAAGATGGCAGTTGGGCTTCCAGGGGACGGCGGATTCTGCTCTATTAATTTAACAAGTGAACCAGCTTTAGCAAGAGCATCAGGGTCAGTACCAGACAGAACTTCTACTTCTTCAAGCTCGACTTGTCCCTTAGTGTCCACCTTCACTTGTCTCTTAATTAAGTCCAAGTTCTCTTGAAGGACCTCAATCTCTCCAAATGGTAGCTTCAAGTCTAAGGCATGGGCCCCAAGAGTAACCGCCTCATCCTTCTTGAACCTCAAAAAAGGCATACAAAGCTTTTGTGTTTGTCTAAAATCTTTACTCTGACCAATTGAACTTCTTTGCAAAGCCTCCAGAATTACCTTGTCTGAAGCAAAAGTGCGAGTATCTTGGTCAAAGTTACTTTGTAGTATCCTCAAACACTCAGCCTTCCATCCATCGAATTGCTCATTTACATATATCAAACCAATCAACCTTTTGGTTTCCGTCGAGGTTTTAGCTGGAGGACCCTTCTTATTGCCTTTTGTTGAGCCTGAAGTTTGCTTTTCAAGAAGCTTCCTCATAACAACAATGGAATGTTGCAAATACTTGTTGGCACTCTGGAGGATCAGATCTGGAGAATCAGCCACAGGCCATCCTGCATTAACCACAAACCCTTCCTTCTTCAAAAGTTCCCTCCAGACATATTCGGCATAGTGTGGACAGATTGGGGTAATGAGACGTGTCTGCACATCCATAAAACGCCACAGCAATTCACGGTTCATACCCCCAGAACCACATGAAAGCCTGTACTCATCCCTAGAAGCCTGAAGATCGTAAAACCCAGTCTTGAGCGCATCTCGGAACATGTAATCCCGGTAATTCTGCTCAGTCCTGTTCACAGCAATATTTATCTCGTTCAAAAAGACCCTGTCAGCATAAGTAGAAGGAGGACCTATTCTCAAAGAGGATTCTGCAGCTAAAACTTCTTCCATCCATGCGATCTCTTTAGTTAGCTTTAGAATAGCAGCATTTGCAGTCTCAAATACGAAATTTGCATCATCAACACCATCTCCAGCATCAGCCAATGAGAATCGCGTGGCATCAGCAGAAAATTCCTCAATTGCCTGGCGAATGGTCCTAAAGTTCCCTGTAGACTTGGACATTTTCTCAGCATTTAACATGATGTGCCCATTGCATCTAAACCCACAAGGCCAGTGCTTCTTGGCCATAATTGCCGTGTGGTTGTAAATGCAGAAGGTTAAATGATTTTGGATTAGATCCTTGCCAGACACTCGAAGATCAAAAGGATACCAATACTCAAACTCCTGCTTCATCTTATTAAGAATGGATGACGAGATGTCAGATGATTCAGGATAAGGGCCATCACAGAAAATATACTCCCAGACCTCATCAGTCATTTGTTCAGGTTTAATTGCAGATTTGCTGGAACCATACATGTCTCCATTGTGTAAAAAGTGAGCAATAGTGTAATAAGCCATGTAAATAGTTGAATCAGACAACGACTCAACTAAGAACTCTTCATCCCAGGGAATACGAGTCCCAAGCCCAAAAGATCGTGAACAAGCCCATTGATTCAACCAACCCAATGTGTGTTCAAAGCCATGTCTTGTCTCGTCATGATACAAATTCATGCTGGACAAGCACTCCTCAGCCAGTTTTTTCCATTCAGGTTCCCCATATGTGATGTACCATTGATCTGTGAGAGCCACAACACATTCATCACCTGATCGTGACACCACCCGCTTCTCAGGTTCACTATACACAATTGCTTCATTTGCCTCTATGAGCTTGCTCCTTATCAACGGTTTCGCCTCCTGGACTTTCCATCCTTCGAATTCACCCACAATAAGTGTTCCCTCAGTGAATCCTTTCAGGTATGTCAGTCTCTTGGCTTCTGCTAGCTTCTCTTTTTCATTCTGGCTCTTGATTTTTAGATCTGCACAGACCTTTTCCGCAGCCTTATTTCCGAATTCAGGAATATTGATAATTGGAATAATCTCAAAGGGCATGACCCACTCATCCTTCACGCCATATTTTGCTCTAAGAGCGGGTTTTGCTTTTAAATCATGTAAGGCCATATAATCATCAGGAGAATCAGCAGGCACGCTGGTCACAATCCCAGTACCTTTGTCTGTCAGGACAGTCAACATAGGAAGAGTGTAAATAATCTGATTGATTGCGCGTGGTGACTTCAATGGAAGGCCAATCAAATCACGACCTGTGAGCTCCACCAAACAAGTAGGTTTCTCTGGGACCCTAGAATACTTCTGATAGGCAAGATTAAGTGCTGCTCTCTGCGTTAGAATAAGTACCTCTGTTTCATTGATTTCAAAGGCTCCATATTTCCCATCAGGCAATACCCATGCATTTGTTTGTCCATACATGGTCTCAGGTCTCAGTGTTGCTGCAGCAAGGAACACTTTCCTTCCATCCAACACTTTCAGTTTAGACGGGAAAGGTGCGACCACCTCCATTTTGATAAGGGTGTATTCCTGGGGCTGAACACCTTCGCCACTTGCCCTGTCATGATCTGCACATGGCTGCCCATCCAATGGAGAGTAAATTGCGTAACGGACATCTTTCACAATCTTGCCCATGGATTTTAATTTCCTCACCTGCCACCTCACAAAGGCATCAAAAACTGGGTTCATGTCTGTAGTAATAAATGACCGCCTCCAATCACATCCCAATCCAAAAGCCTTGAGGTCTTCCACTGCCAATGGAGGAAAGAATGTCAACCAGTTGTATGGATTTTGGAATTTGGATATCTCGCTATCAGAGAGGCCAAAACTACGCATGATTTCCCATTGGTATGCTTGTCCACCTGATTTTGATGCAGCCTTCGACTTCTTTCCCTTGAACTTATCTGGAGGTGCTCCACTATTTGCACCTTCTGTTTCTGCTTCAACTTCCTGACTCCCCTGTTCCACTTCTTTTGGAAAAACTGGAGGGTCGCCAAACAGTTGAATCTCTCTCGCAAGTTTATCAGCCGACGCTTTGATAGGCATGCCAGTGCAGTGAAAAGCGAAAGGCAAAAGCACATTGGCACCTCTTAACCTATGGTAAGCTGCAGCAAACTCTAGCTTGGAGAGTGAGAATGCATGTCCAAGATGCAAAAAACCATTCATGTACGGAAATGGAAAGTTTCCAAAGAACTTCTCCCCAGGTTCGGGAGGCTTTTCACAAGATTCAGCTCTGAAAACATCCTTCTCTTCCCACCAGCTTCGAACCTTTGTCTCAATCTCGAGGAGGTGGTCTCTCCTGGCGAAGCTCCTCCCACCACCTTCAGCCGCCATTTCAGTAATCTTACAGAAACTGCAAACGGTGCAATGTTTTACATAAGCAAACCAGTGTTCCAAAGGCATTATTACCTCAAATAAAAATGCAAGTAAAACATCCAAATTCACATTAACGCCATAGAGTGAATGAAAAGGCAATATGGTTGTAGCACAATTAAAAAAATAAGCAAAGATTATTATTATTATTTTTTTTTTGAGAAGAAAGAATTATTATTATTATAGAGGATTAAAAGAAAAGCAAGTCTGCACTGGTTATTCACATAATTCGCAGGTAAATTTCAGCTAGATAAAAACCAGTCATCACCACTACATACGTACAGTGTTTGAAAGTTCTTCGATATGGTTGATGTTTCAAGAAATCAGAGGAAGGTATGAAAGGGGGTGGAATCTAAACTTCACCCATATTGGAGAAATTCTTCAATTTCGGCTAAAATCGACAAATTTCGTCAATATTTCTGACATATCGGTTAAATCTCGGAGAAACACTTATATGTCGTTTTTGACATTCCTAAAATTTCATTTTAAATTTCAACATTTTTGAGTAAATTTCCATCATTTTGCAACCAATATTGATATCGATATATCCATCTATATTTCCACAAATTTGCATATCGATATTTCCATCAGTATCGGTATTTAAATATTGTGCATACATAGATACATATTCACATGTATGCACTTACACTAACCAAATCAAAGAATCAGAGAAATCCAAATTCCATCTTAACAAATAGATACTAAAAACTAAAACATCAAATTTAATCGGAAATTGTAGCAGTTGCATTCAGAAACTCAAATTTTCCAAATTAAAATAAAAATCTTCACTTTAACTCCCATTCATTCTGATCAGTAAATTAAGTCGTTGAGAAAAAAAAATCAGTAAATTAATTCGACATGAGCAATTTGTAAAGAACAAATCTTTACTATTCAATCACAGAATTCATAGATCGATAAGCTCGAGTAAAAATCAAATAATAATATTTGAAACCGAAAAAATTAGAAGAAAAAAAACCAGTGAGAAATATACCTCCGGTTCAAGATTGAACAGGGTAGGGCATTACATGTAAGTTTGCGCGCGTTTTCTCGAGCTAGAAGAAAAGCCAGGGGAGAGATTAGGGTTTCTGCTTCTTTGGGGACGATAACGATGTGATAATAATAGCGGAAGAAGGAAGGAGGAGAAGGAAAGGAGAGCTTGGGAAGAAGAAGATGGGGACTGACGACTGAGGTGTAAATTAGGGTTTTGGGGACTCGGACTTTAACTGGGCCACGTGGCAAATTGGGTTTAATAGCCCTTTACAACGAATATTGTTAAAATTCAATTTCGTTTTTTTCGACGAAATTACACGTTAAATTGCTCTTAATTTTTAGGGTTGTGACACACTTATTTTTATCTCTTACATATAATTTTTAATTTCTGACCGTTAAATTAAATAAATTAAAAAAAATCAATGAACAAAATTAACAAGAGTGTATAGAAGGCAAACCCAATTTTTATCTCTTATGTGTGCTTGTGCTTACTATGAGTTGTTGACAAAATATTTTGAGTCGTCGTATATGTCATTGATGTTCCATTTGAGATGGCATTAATATTTCATTGATATTCTATTGATATGCTCATGCTTTGTTGTTGGTAAAATATCAATGTCCTATGGACATCATATCGAAGAAATATTAACACTATCTTGATGAAATATTAAAATCGATATCGACATACTATGACAACACAATATCGAACATGAGATAAATAATGTAGATCGTGTATCGATGAGATATAGATCCAATTGATGAAAATAGTATCACCAAAGGGACACAATATCTACAAAAATGATATCAATGGAGAAGACCAAATATATTTAAATTACAAAATCAATGTCAAATACAACATATTTTTAATTCAATGACACCACTTATTAGCACTATCATTTTCTGAGTGGAAAGAGAATAAAGCATCCAGACATCCACGCAACTACTTTGGCACATGTTCTTCCGAACAGATTCCTTAATATGTTCTTCCGAACTGATTCCTTAACATGTTCTTCCGAACAGATTCCTTAACATGTTCTTCCAAATGCTTTGTTAGGATTTGTGATTTTAGCTAGAGAGTGCAGCATAGGAGCAAAAGGAGTCAACGGAGAGGTTGAGAGAGAAGGGTCGGCATATCTGAACTTATGACTCTCAGAGATCTCCTCCATATGATTTTGAAGAAGAGGTTTTATTATAAAGCTAATTGGTAATATGGAGATTAGTCCAACGTTTTACAATCTTTGCAAGGTTTATTCTTTCACTAATGTGAAGGTAAAATGTGAGACTCTTTTACGTCTACATTCTCACACGTCATATAATATGTGGCTAATTTTCAAGCCAAAGACGTGGACAACACGAAACAAATGATGTGGAGCTCGTATTATTGTTGGGTTTCACATGTGGACCAACCTACTCTGATACCATGAAGAAGTTGAGGTTCCATCATAAAATCGATTGGCAATATGGGGTGCAATCCAACCTTTTATAAGCCCTTGCAAGGTTTATCCTTCATATGAATTTCTTTTAGCTTCACATACTCAATTTCAAAAGTAGGTTTTAGATTAAGAGTATTTTCGTCAAAAAGAACTAATTGAAGCTAGGCTATTTTCTGTTGGTGAGTTTGTAGTGAACCCAATTTCCCCTTATTTTTTCCTTAGATTATGTGGAGATTTTTTTTTTTAAGTTATGGGTATTCAAGCAGTATTCTACATGTCTTTATATAAGTGGAGGAAATTATATATATTTTTTTCGTGTCTCTCCACTTGTATTAAGACAATTGGAATGCCCACTTAAATACAGGGCATTCTGAAAAAAAAAAAGTTCTCAATTATGTGCATGATGTCCATGGTTTGTGAGAGGAGAGAAAGACTTGGTCCACCATCGTGGCGTTTTGGTCGAATAATTATGTGTAAGTTTTACTTCATATGACATGATATTATTGAATCGAAACACCTGTGGTGATGAACTCATACCATACAATTGCTCTTATAGATAAGCTTTGTGTCATGAATCATGATCTCATGTCAACTTCAATCATTGAATTTTGCCAATGTTTTTTTTTAGAGAAAATCAACAATTAAGTTCAGAGGCTCCTCGAACCAAATGAAATCTTGTGCTGCCATCAAGCCATGCCTTGTCAGCCTATGGGCTCGTTTAATACACATGATTTGATTGAATTAGAGATTATCAAATTTCAAGATATTTAAAGGTGGGAGTGAATTTCTTTTCATTTGGAAGGGATTATTAGAAGAGAATTAGCTATGAAGAAAATTCATTCCTTCTATTCCTATTTAAGAAGAATTATAATAAATAATATTTCTTCATAAGTAATCCACTCTTCTATCCTTGAAGTGTTCATAACTTTATAATTTCTCTCTGCAATATACTTTTAATTTAGTATGTCATCCCTTACATTTCAAATTCCAATCATTTGTGTCAGACGAGCTCTATATGCTTATTTATGTGGTCAATGTCGTTTTAGTTTAAACAAGCTAAGGAGGCAATAAAAGCAGGTAGACTCTTCATCTTCGTTAATTAGTCATGTACTAGAAATTAGGCATGTGCGTTGCCGCAGGAACCAGCTGTTTCAAGCGTAATCGGATGAATAAAACACATTTAAGTTGAATAAATTCAACACAATTATGAACAAACAAAGGAATAAATGAGTGAATAAGATCAATAAGATAAGCAGTTTTGTTTTTATACATTCAAGTGAGCTGACATATAAACACATTGTACAATGAGTAGGAAGAAATTGAACGTTTTGATTAGGAAGAGAACAAACATGTAGTTCACACATCTAATATGTGTCCTACAGTGTAGGCAGCCATTTAAAATGGTAATTAAAAACATTAAGTGTTGAGGACTTGTTCAAGTAGCTAAATTTGTAACCACAACTGTTCAAACGCAAAAATAAGCAGAATGTCTGTTTCCATACGAAACTGAAGAAACAGAAGCAAGCTGCAGTTCACACATATTTTGCCCCTGCAGTTAAGACGGCAAAACATATGCCCTGCAGCCTACATACCTTACTTAGCAATTAGCAAAACACAGAAAAAGCGGTGTTTGAGCAGGTAAGTCATCAAGCACAGATGTTCAAACAAAAAAATATGCAACATGGTGTGCAGTATTCGATGACTGAGAGCGTGGCTGTTCACTTTTTTCTGAGGACATCTTCGACACCATAGCAAAAAACATAAATCATAATTTAACAAAGGCAGCCATTATGGACGCTATTCAGGCATGTGTTGATACTCATAACTGTGTTCACTTATCCATATTATATTTGAATATGAATGAGGATAGATGGTTGATATTCATAACTGTGTTCACTTATCCATAATAAAATTTAAAAGGATGAAACTTTTAATTACCAATAAACCAATAATGAATACTGATTATTGAAAACAAATAATGCAAAAATACCAGTCAATCTATTAAATAAAACCAACCCATACTCTGACAACAAAAAAGGTAAAACTACATAAGTTAAAGGTCAGTCCTTTGCAAAACCAACAATTGCATATAGCAAAAAATGAAATAAAAACAAAATCTAACAACCAAAAAATATGTATGTATGCAGTAGCAATCATGCAAGAGTTTATTCATCGGCTAAAATTCGAAATTTCTGATTGACCAATTACACCATTTCTATAAAATTTCAGTTATGGCATTAGTATTGAGAAAAATTAATATGTTAGAACAGAAACAATTTCTTACATATGTCAACAATCCATAAAAAGGGGTCCTTATTCAACAATAAATATTTTTTTTATACCAAAAACAAAGCAATAAAATAAATGTTTTACTTTGAAATTTCAAATAGACTTAGTTCAGACATTAACAATTTCCATGGAATTTCTCTTGGGTTTACATAGAGAGGAAAGCGAGAGAGCTCTCCAGATTTTGAGCAAAATCCCCCAAAACTACGATTAGATAGCTTCAGCTGGGATACATGTAAACAAATTCAAAGCTCAAGACCTGAAACTGAGCTTAAAAACTGGAAATCTCACTTTAATTAAGCAGTTTTTCAGATCTTTACAGCTTAAATATGCATGATAACAAAAAAGAAGCATCCTTTCTTGACCAATCGGACACTAACAGAAAAGCCTTAATTCATATTATTTAGATTACAAATACACAGGCGACCAAATAGCTAATAAAGCTAGACACTTTGACCCCAATCCAACACAAAAATTGTTGTGGTTATACATGCGATACCTGCCTAAAATATCAACAATTCCAAATTAAAATGGAAAATGAAATGAAGCAACATAGATTGAATACAATTTGGGGAAATATTATCTTACCTGGAGCTCCGAATTGGGCTGAATCCATTAGGTTTGGGGGGAGAGGAACACGGAGCTACTATGAGAGAGAGAGAGAGAGAGAGAGAGAGCATGCGTTGTCCTTTTCTTCTATACAGCCATTGGACTGCAGTTCTTTCACAAATAAATTATATGCATGTGTTAGTTTTTCAAGTTGTAGTCTTGCAATCAACTTAATAAGCATAAGTTCAAACATTAAATGAATATAAAATGATATATGTACTAAAAAAATGTTCCATTTTTACATGAACAACTAAGCAAAAGCATTATTACAACTAAGCATTATTATAACCAAGAATCTAAGTTCATAACCAACAACCAGTCATCAAGAACAAACCCCATTAGGCCCGAACCCAAATACAAATGCCACTAACATAATCACCCAAAATTCACTACAGCAAACACAAAACCCACCCAAAAATTATCTTCATAAAAAATGCCACCAAAAACCTATTAAGCCCAGTCAGTCGATTAAGAACCTATTTGACTAATTCCAACTCAGCAGATAGTCAGATTGTTAGTTCTGGAAAAGATTATTGCCCAATAAACAGGTAGAATCAAAGTATGAATATATTCAGTATGAGTACATTCAGTTAATATCACAGTATCTTCATTTAAGCAAAATCCCCCTAAATTTGGCATCCACTGTTTTCATACATTCATAAATTCATTGCTAACAACAAAATATAATGAAAAAATAAAAAAATAATAAGGTCAAAAATGGACCAACAGGACCTCTTGCATTCAAAATTTTGAACCAAAAGTCAAAAAATTGATATTTTGGATTTCCAATTTCATATCATTTCAAGAAAAGATCAAAAAACTAAATTTTTAACATTCCCAAAAACTGAAAATCCAATCTTTGGGGGAAATCCATGAGAGCATGCACTTGTATCAGTCAAAATATATTCCTTACGTCAACAAATTGTATTAACCCATAGAGCTAATTATTATGTAATTACACATCTAGAGCTATCAGCTATAGCGAATCTTTTATCTTCAACCTTAAATATTACTCCCTTAATTAGTGCTTCTTTTCAGATCACAACATTGGATACGATTAATTAGGTGCTACATCGACTGTGACTTGTGAGGACCACTATGCTAATAAATTCTACAATACAATTTGAAGATCTAATTGCAACAACTCGAAACCCTAGCAAAACGATCAATCGAATCAAGAAAGAGACCTCGAGCGAGGATCATTTTTCCTTGAATATGAATCCGCATCATGTATTCAACTACGATATAAATCCCCATAAATCCATTTTTGGAAAGTACTAAAACACCGAAAACAAATATATGTGTGCACATAAATATATATATATATATATATATATATATATATATATATATATATCAGTATGAATATGAGGCATTGAATGGTAAATTGGATGAGGAAGTCTAAATAGACCAGTGGTGGCGAGTGGTGAGGATGAGCTTCATACCGACGCCATGTTCTTGGGCTGCTTTCAGAACCTTCTCAGATTCAATTAGATCCACAACCGCTGCTTTTTTGATATTATCGCCAATAATTCTAATCACCAATACATAGTTATATTTTCTCTGAGTCGTATAGCAACACTCATAGGGTAATAGCCAATGAACATTGATACAAAACTTGAATTAGACAGGTATAATATTATTCTCCTTAAAAGAAGAACTATTTGTAAGATCATACCTTTGACTTTGGTTGGAAGTGTGCTCTCTGTTACTTTCGCATTGGATTTTGCGGCCAATTTCAGTGAATTGCTTAAAGCGATTACATATATATGGCTATTAAATTAAAACAAAAAGAGATGCCAGCGGATAGCTGAAAGCTGGGTTTCGTGTTACAGCAACGACACCTTCCACTGTTCATGAATCACTGCAAAACAACACAAAGTTCTTATGCCTACACTACATTTACTAAATCAATTCAAAATGGTCCTTACGGTAAAAAAAAAAATTGCTCTATAAGTAACGCATGGTGTCAACTATATCGAATGTCATTATTATGTGAGAAAAAATAAAAACCCAGAAATTAAAAGAAATAATGCGGAAATTCCAGATCAAAGTGACAACTGAAGACGCCCAAAAATACCAATTTGGGAAATCATGAGAGCAAGGATCAATTGAGAACTCACTGAAATCGAATCAAATGGTGAGAATGAAGGAAATATTATACAATAAATACAGAAACAGAATTTCCTACAACAAATAATAAGATTCCAGAGTCGCACCAATAGAAACGTAAATCACCATATATAAGTAGACAAAGTTTCTAGCAATATATACAAAAACCTCTAAAAAAATCTACCTAAACTCAAAAAGCAGCAATTCCATTTCCTTACATGGTGCGACACACAATGGGTTTCACAGCTATTAATCAAAATACGCAACATGAAAGCCTGTTTGAGTTAGAACACTATAATGTGAAATCCACACACAGTGGGTTTCACCAAGGTCCACATATCCAATCCAAATTACATAGCTAATATTCAATAACATGTCCAATCTTTAAGCACATTTACCAAACAGATTTAGAACAGTATAGAATCTACTTAGTAGCAGAAGCAAACACCAGGAAATTATGAAGAAGCACATAATTGAGCATAGTCGTCGTACCCAGTGCACAAGGCTCCCGCTTTACGCAGGGTCTGAGAGAGGTGAATGTCGGCTAGCCTTACCCCCATTTATGAAGAGGCTGCTCCCAAACATAATTGAGCATAGTGAAACCAAAAAAAATTCGAATGATGGTTTTAACAAAGCAAACGGAAAACAAAACAATAAACAATGATTTTCAAACAGTACATAACCTGTTGAATTAGAGGAAAAAACTGAAAACCCATACCCTTCCATACATCCCTCTGTCATTCTGTCCTCACTGACCCTCTGCACTAACCCATTAATTAACCCCAAAAAATGCACACAACCATGCTTTCTCTTCTCCCTCTCTCTATCTCTATCTCCCTGTCCACATCTCTTTCTCAAATGATAAATCCCCCAAAACCGGACCTAGCAAACTAAACAATTCGAAAATCTAAGCTACCATTAAAGAATATAATTTAAAAAACAAACTTGTCTTTGGATTTGAGGCATGCATCGCAAGATCTGGCACACCCCACTCTCAGTAAGGTTTGTTCATGACCCCTACCCCTATCTCCCTGAAATCCTGACGACCCATACGGTCTTCTCTGACCATACCCACTCTCCCACTTGTAAAATCCATCTGCAGCAACAGTGTCGAGACCTCTCTCTCTCTCTCTCTCTCTCTCTCTCGGAAACCCTCCATCCCCGAAACCCTAGTTGAACGACAGCAAATGATACCTACCCGGTTACCCCCCATCTCGCCCAAAACCGGTAGGACAAAATTGCCCTTCCTAACTTTTACATTATAGAACAACGCAGCAAAAACTCAAGCAAGAAAATGAACACATACCAGTGATTATTTCCTCATCGGTTATTCCCAATGTAATATGTTACATTGGATAATTTCCAGAAATAAAATAAACATTCCGAAAGGTTCAGCTAAGTTTCTTGTTTCTCCAAAGAAAGTTACCTGTACATGAAGAACATCTGCTAATGGCAACCTCTTCAAGTGAGGGAAGGTAAGCAGTTGGGATGCCGTTTGCCCAAAGTATGCAATCTGGTCCTGTGTTGCACGCTGTTGTACCTGATTTTGGCACAGAGGAAAAAAGAATGTACTGAAAAAAATTATAAAACAATAATGGAAAAAATCATACAGATGCCAACAGAAACTATACTTACTGGGTCTGAGATCTTATGAATATCCACTGTCCCTTCATAGGTAATGTAAAAGAAAAAATTATTTGCCATTATAGCTTCTTTGCCACGCTGCTTATACCTGTATGTTCCAATTTATTAATGAATATAACAGTTTCAAAAATGAAACATTCAAAGTTGATATAGTCTAGAGTTGTGATGAACTTATCAAAGAAAAAGTTAAAAACAAAATGAAATGAAAGAAAAAGAGGTAGATACAAACCAAAAATAAACTAAAATTAAAAATCTCCAAAGTCCAAAGAAAACCTACCCGAATATGAGATCAATCCATTCATGCAAATGCGTAGATGCATGCTCACTTTCAAGAGCCCAGGTTGTTGAAATACCAGCCACAACAATCTTACCATCAACCTCGTCCTGCAAGGAAATGAAGTTAAACTTAAAACAGATCATTCTGGGAACACATGTAACCTAAAAAATGTTATGCATTAAACTTGTGCTTCCAAGCATATATTATAGATGACTTGTCCTGGATGTTCTTCTTATATTAAAGAAACCATCATTATTGTTGCGTACACCTTAAGCTGTGATAGTAGCATATATACAGCTCGATAAGCAGGGTCTTCTGTGCTTTCCACAATAAACATAAACTCTAAGGGACCACCATAGAGAGAAGTGACCTGTTTTCGTTAATTAAACAAAATAATTCAGACCATATTGGAAGAAAACCTTGGATACAAATTCAACCTATTAAATCAGTTAGCAGGAGGATTTTGAACACTTCACCAGATAAGACATCCCTACCGTGCAAATACAGAAATTTAGACATGCCCACCAAAAGAAAATATAGCTTGACTATGTTAATCTAATATCACAAAGATATTGAGTTTCCAAGTCTCAGACCCAATAGAGTGTAATTTAAACTTCTTATGAAGAAAAACCTAATTTTCAACTCAAAAATAATACAAAAACATGATTGGCTTTGACCACTCTCATTCCAAATGTTCTAGCGTAGCCCCTGACTCAAGGGCTCACCAAATGGGTTTTTGATTTCTGACGTGATAGAATCTGAATCAGGAGGAAGAAGAAAGCTAGTAGCTCAACGTAAAAGCTAAAATGAATCCCTCCTCAACAATGGCAGCGGAGACAACGATGAACACCAGGTTCATTTTTTTAATTTAATTTTAATTTTTAATTTTTTGGATTTAAGAAAATGAAACAAATTCTCATTTTAAAAGGTGAACATTTGTTGATTGGATTCTGTAAAAGGGTTTTACTTTGATTTATTTTATTTTTTATTTTTTATTTTTTTTGTAGTGTAAGCCTTTACACTTTAGAGCAAACACTTCCATTCGAAACCTTAAATAAAACCCAATTTAATTGGAAATGGGAGAGTATGAAGTAATTAGAGCATGACAAGTAAATAGATATGGGGCCTTTTTTTTTTTTTTTTTTTTTTTTTTTCAATTGAGCTCTTGAAGAGTTTTTGTATGAATCAGAAAATGTTGATGAACTCGTGGAGGGCCTGAGCTGAAAATGAAAGCCGGTGTAGCTTCAACCAACAATCAAAAATCAAAGAAGAAGAAACAAAAGAAAAGCAAAGAGGCTTCTTCATCTTCCTCCGATGCTTCGAACGTCGAAAAGCCCTTTTGAGATTTTGTGGTGGAGGATATATTGCAATGCAGGGCATGCGTTAATCGGGCCGCACCACCAGTAGGTAAGCAATTTATCTTACTCTAGATTTAAAATGATAATAATAAAAAAAAGGTCTGTATTAGGGGCTTTTTTGGGGCCGTTTTTCTGATTTTAGGGGTTTAAATTTGGTATTATGGGTTCTGTTTGGATGCTCATAAAGTATGAGAGCAGCAGGTATACTGAATTTGGTGTTCTAGGTTTGTTGTGTTTGTTAGTGAAATCAGAGTTTCCATAACTTTTTGAGGTGTTCAAAGCTTTTGGTTGCGGAACATTTAATATTTGAACTATTAGTAATTATTCTTAGGACATAAATTGAATAATGAAAACAAGTGAATTGAAGTTTTTCTAATTTGTATTAGTTGAAGCTTTGAAAATTAGTGTTTGTTTTGCACCATTTCACTTAGAAATCCGCCCTTTTAAGGTAGTAGAAGTGTCTCATCTTTTGTTTGGTGGAGTATTTTCTTTTCTTTTCTGTTTTTGTTGTTGTTGATTTTATTATAAATATTGCGGAGATATGTGAAATGAGAGCTTCCGAGTAACGAATCATCAATATCATCTAGACTCTAGAGGTTGGATAAAGCAAAATCAATAACCTAAAGTATAATCAAACAAAGAAACACAATACAAAACCCAAATAGAAAAAACCCATTTAAAATTCAATTATCCACTGTCCAAATTTCAAAGAGAAAAAAGCTAGTAATCAATAGTATCATTTTCAACGATTTCAAATTCCACAGCAGAGCGTATGTATTTTTGCTAGTTATCTATTCTAAAGTTGAGGAGGGATTTGACTGTAGCTTAGCTACAGTCAAATCTTTGCCACTCGATTTGCTTTATTTACACCATTGCCATCAGATCTGAGATTGGGTTGGAGGGTAAATATCAAAAGTTAGGAGGGTAATTTTGTCTCCGAACAGATTTCGAAATATTTACGATTTTGCAGTCTATTCATGTTTGTTTTGAGATGGGCCCTTGATTTTGTATTATTTACATTCCTGCCATTTCCAAAAAGCATGGGCTGCAAAGATAGGGATGGGTAAATATCCATTGGTTATGGGTAACCGCAGTTATCCACCCATTTAAATTAAAATGTTACGGTTATGGGTAACCGTTTAGATAAATAAACGGTTATGAGTATAACCGTTTACCCGTAAAATTTAAATGGACGGTTATGAGTATTAACCGCGGTTATAAACGGATAACCGTTTACCCATTTATTTTATATATGTAAAATTAGCACAAACCATGTTCTCGATTCAATAATACTTAGCAACTAATAAATTAGCAAGGAATGTTCTTTTCTCAGTAACACTGTTGCAGGAATAATGATTCTCATCATCAAGGAATGGAATGGGGAAGGGGAGCGAGGAGTGAGGTTGCCATAAAAGGGGGTTAGGGTTGATTTTTTTTCCTCAAAATCAAGGGTTGGTGTCGGGATGGGTCGAAATTGCCACTAGAAGCCTAAATTAATGGGTAGATGTCGGTGATTGAGAGATTGAGAGATTGAGAGGGAGAAAATTGAGGGAGGTTGTCACTGACCCGATTGAGTGAGGGATTTTGTGAGGATTCGACTGACTTAATGACTAGCAACACAAGATAAGACATGCTTCCGGTAAACCGCCTCCGTCCTTTTCCTCCTCTCGCCTCCGCCTACCTCCTCTCCCCTTCGTCGTCTCCCCCCTCCTCTCTCTCTCTGGAATCGATCGATCTTCGAAGAGGATAAAAAGATCTGAAATGGTGTGCTTCTTCTACTGTGATTCTGTGTTTTTTATTTTTCTGGGTTTGGCTTCTTCTGTTATTCCACTGTTTATTTACGAAAATAATGATTTTTGTTCATTTTGTTTTTATTTTACTTTTTGTTATATTTCATTGCAATATCAAATAAAGTTGGTATTTTAAAATCTCTCTGCAATATCAAATAATATAGTTGTTACAGAAGCAAGTTGTTTAGTTAAAATCCTAAGAAGATTAGGGTAAAACATTCCGGCTGTCTCATTATTGATAGTCAGAATTTCTGCAATCTCTGAGATATATTTTTGGGATAATTTTATAGTGATATACGTCAAGGTTCAAGAAAAACTTTGCTACACTGCACTATAGGAGTATCTGGGTTAAAGAAAATTTTCTGATTTAAGCATTTAGCTCCTGGATTGCATTAAATCAGTATTTAAAGAAATAATGCATTGATACAAATTTTTTTGCCCAAAAATTAACTCCCGGAGCTTCCTGTGAGTTATTCTTAGCTTTTGATTTAATTTTTTTAGAATTATTATCATTTTTTTTATCTCTGCTGCTGTTTTGGATTTTTTAATTATAATTTTTATGCGAGTGTAGGCACTCAAATTAGTGTTTTGGAGTGCATCTTGATCAGACCACCACAAAGAGAAAACGGAAACCAAAATCAGAGCCATCAAAACAAACAAATGCTGGTATGTCCTAAAAAAAGGTTGGTTTGTGTACTTTCGAAGAATATATGGAAGAAGAGAATATTGATCATGGTGTAGAATGTGATGGTAATGTGGTTGAAAAAGATAAAATGTTGCACGAAAAGATCTTGGAACTCATTGACGAAAATATGCAGCACCGAGCTGAGTTGATAAGGAGAAACAAGGAGAATCGTGAAACAATTGAGCGGCTTTTGTCCCAGGTGCATAAGCTAACGGATGAGAACAAAATTTTGAGGATTAATCTGGGAATCCATAAGGATACTACTGATCATACAATTGCAATCCATAAGGATCCTACTGATCATACAATTACAAGGCAAAACAAGCCTCAATTTTCGAGGTCTAAGTCCATGGGGCCATCTTTCCCTGGAAGGCTCACTGGATGCATTGGAACTTGATCTTAATTAGCTACTTGTGAAGGTGAGGTTAACAAAGTGTGCTTTAGCACCAAGATTGGAATCTGGGTTTTCTGAGTTTTGTTTTGTTGTGATTTTTCTATAATCTAGATGCTGAAATACCTGGAGTTGGAATTAATGAGAATCGATTGAACATGGATTTTTTATTAGATTGGTACGGCTGACATAGTTAAGAAGTAGTTTAAGATGCAGTGATTAGGGAATTTCTTTAACTGAACATATTTGTTTTCACGAGGTAGATAAAATCCTCTGTAATTTAATTAATTAGATTGAAATTTGGGGTCCGGATTCTTAAACTATTATGGTTAATGTGGTTTTTTGGTGAATTTTTCAAGTGGGGAAAAAGGGGTGGGTGTGGGATTTATATTGTTATTCTCAATTGGCATATAGACATTTGAGTGTGCAAGAAATGGATACCGTACAAGAAATGCAAGAATTGAAATTAGAAGGGATGAGGGCAGTTTTCAGAGGGTGGGTTCGGGGATGGTAAAAGTTGTGTAGGTGGCAAGATTAATGGTGGTGGTTTCATGGTGGCGTAGTTCTCCGTGAAAAATGTCGACGGTGGTCGCCTTGCTATTTCTGTGCAGCGAGCACAGTATCGAGAGAGAGAGGTGAGGGAAATGGGGAGAGTGGTAGAGAGGGAGTGAGACATGAGAATGGTGGCAAGGTGGTGCCTTTAGGGAGTGGCGAGTGAGGTGGTCATGGTTTCTCGAACGGGAGATTGATGGTGCACTAGAGAACTTGACTCCTCTCTCAGTCTGGTCTCTGGAGAAGAAAACCCAACAGAGCTATGCATTAGCAAAGTTTGAAATGAGGGTTTTTAATCTTTGGCATGCTATTGTCTTTATTTGATCAATCTTTGAATAAAATTCCTATGGACAAGTGAAAAAAATTGAATGAAAACTTGGAGAAGAAGTTCTGATTTTTAATATCTTCAATCGAGGATTATTGTGATGCCTTTTGACAATTGAAATGTGAATGCATTATGTACACTTGAACTTTATAACGCTCTCTTATTGGGAATCTTATTTGTCTTCCATTCACACAACCATAATATGTCACTGCTTGTCTGAACTCCTTTCTATTGGCAAATATCATTCCAGTTCTAAATTGTGGGTTCTTGATATCCAAATCACTTCTAAAAGGAATGAGTTTGGACATTTTCTTCTTACTTTTCCGCTTCACTGGTTGTTCACCTTCAGATGATGAGCTAGAACCACTTCTAAGCCATCAGAATCTTCGTAGTCTGTTTCAACATCTCCAAATCCTAAATCAAGGAAGGGGTCAGTATTACGTGATGCTTACCTATTTCCATTGCATTTTCCAATGGTATTTGTCCCTTTAGTTTTCTCTACATTGTTGTCAAATAAGTTGTCATCGACATCACTTTGTTCATAGTCTGAGTCTTGATAATCTGAATCTTCCGAATTGCCATCGCCATCGCTCTCTTCATTTTCCATGTTATGTATACCTACCTCAACAAGATTGTCTTGTTCCCGATCTCCTTCATAAGCTTGCTCCAAAAATCCCTCAAATATGCCAAAAGGATCATACATGTGAGGAATGTCAAAAGAGTTTGTTGAAGCTTGAATTTCAGTGTTTGGGGCTAACATGTGAGGAATGTCAAAAGAGTCTACTGAAGCTTGAATTTCAATGTTTGGGGATGAATTCATCAGTTGGTCATCATCAACAATGTACACAAGTACCACTCTATTTTGGGGCAATACAGTAGCTAAAGTCCAAAAATCACTATCAGCAACCATAGGCTTGTAAGTTGTGTCATTTGGCAATGTAATAGTACCTGGACATTAGATCACAGTTCATATTGTCAAATCAAGCAAGATGACCACCAACTTAAGTCATTGTCCCATTACAGGCTTCTATAAAGTGACCTCCATGGTGCAATTGTAAATAAATCAGATTTATTTGTACAAGATAAGTGATCAAAGTTTAAGCAATCGGTAAAATGACAAATCAAATAAACATTCCCTACTTAGATACAAAGTAACCATCAGCATAAAAGTGCATGGACATGAAAA